CTCCAGAGTCAGACTTAAATGAACACTGAACACTCTCTATGCGAATGAGAACTTTTCATAAGTCTCCTGGGAACCGTATTGACCGGTTCTTGTTTTGGATATTCTCTTTCGCAGGCGATCGATGACACCTATTCTCTAGCTTAAGGACTCAGTTTCTGTCATCAGCTGTAGACATAGAGCATTAAATTCAATTGCTTCATGCAATCATACTCACCTATAAAACTCTCCGATGAAATCGTTTTCTCTTTTTCGACTGCGAATTGTATCTAAGCCGATCATGGTTTCTGAAAAGTGCGATAATACGGGACTTCGACAAATAGCCTCGAGCCTCTTGAGCTCACGGGAAGTCTTCAAGTAATACCACGTTAAGCACAGAAAAATGACCACGGCTGGAACCGAAACAATGGAGAGCCAAATATTCGTAAACAAGGGTAGCAGCATGGCTGTGGATATGAACAAAAAATACTGGATGGCTGATAGAAACATCCTGGGAAGTAACTCGTCCATACAACCAATGTCTTTGGAACATCTGTTTAATATGCGTCCCGCAGGATTAGTGTCGAAAAATAACACTGGGGCTTTCAGCAAACAGGTAACGAGCCGGCTGTGCAAGTTTTGAGATGATCTGAGGGAGACACTGAAGAATATGACGGCACGGATGATGGCCATAGCGAAAGCACGGAACACTAGAGCAGCGTAAGTACTCAGTGCTGAGAATGACTGTTGTTCCGATGCAGGTTGAATGGTAGTGAACCAAGAAAGCCAGACGTCGGGTGAAACAAGAAGAGCTAATAAATGAATCATTAGAAAAAAAATATTCGTTTTCCATAACAAAAATGATAACGATTTATTATAGAAATGTCATTCATTCAGAGTTGTAGAAAAATGGCGTTATTTACGTGAAAGCAATGAGCGTTTTAGTATGCATGTATACTCCAGGTGATCTGGAAAAGTTTGAAATTACGAATCACTCGAAGAATATGTATCACTAAGTTTCACACGTGATAGAGGCATCAAAGATGACATACGTAGTGCGCAGAACCACTTGATTTGCTTGCTAATTTAAATTCTCGTAAAGTTACTAATCAAAAAAGGGAATTATTATTATCATAATAAAAAGATCATCACCAAAATCCACTTATCGTTAATGATAGCTGTTTTTCTTTTTCTACTATTGTTCAGTGTTCTTTTCTACGTGATCATTTTTCTTGTTCTAGGTTAAAATTATCATGGGAGGTTACCTGGAATATTTCTCTTACCTTGCGTCATAAGGAAAAGAAGAAGTAAAAGAATCATGAAAAATGGATGCATCCCGGCTCTAAAATAATTCCAATATAATGAAGAGGAGATATCCCCAGTTGCCATATCTTCATGGGATACAAGCAAAGGCTTATCGAATTGGCTTCGGTTTGCGTTATGACGTAAGTTAGATTCTTTGTTAGGAGTGGTGGTCTTTTTTTCCATGGCACTACTAGCATCTATTATAGAATCAATAATTACTCCCCTTTCTTTCAATTCGCTGTAAGTGCCTTTTCCTGAGACGGATCCGTTGTTGAGAACCACAACCTGGTCAACCATCCTGAGGTACCTTTCTGTGTATGTCACTAGGACTCTTATTTTATTCTTCAACAAGTTGCAAATGCACTCAAAAAATATGTGTTCACCAACTTTAGAATCAACTGCGCTCAAAGGATCATCGAGTAAATATATGTCAGCATCGGCGTATACTGCACGAGCCAAATTAACGCGAGCCTTCTGGCCGCCACTCAGCACGACACCGTGTTCTCCAACAAATACGAGGTCACCATTTGGAAATCTTCCTATGTCGTTAGTTAGCGTGCAAGCTTGAATCACCCTGTTGTATTTTGTTTCATCGAAAGGCTTCCCAAACAAAACATTTTCTCGGAGTGTTCCAGAGAACACCCAAGCAGTTTGAGAGACATAAGCCACATTCCCGTAGTAGGTTATGTTCCCACTGGATGCAACGACTTCTCTTGCAATGGCAGCTAGGAGTGTAGATTTTCCACTCCCCACCTCACCAGTAACGACTGTTAGACTCTTCTCCGGGACCTCAAAACTGACATCGTGGAGGATATATGGCCCATACAGTTCATCAACTTTACACCAAAGACCTTCAATTAATAACTTTCCTGTAGAGGTTTGAGTAGATTCAGTTCTATAGTTACGAATGGTATCGTTGTCAACAGAAAAGTAACTATCAAAGTCTTGATTTTCAGATATTATTTCTTCACTCTTATCTTCTGCTTTTAAGGGGCCTCGAACATAAAGCTCTGGGAAGTTGTTTTTAGGTTCTTGAACACGATCTCGGTGGCCAGGAGGCTTCTCAGTGGATTCCAAGCCCATTGAAGATATATTTTTCAGCAAAAGAAAGTTTCTGATTCTTTTTAAAGATATCCACAACTCAAACACTGAGGTAATAGCATAAAAGAATCGTGTGATGGTAATTCGAAGTGTGTTAATGAAAGCCAGAAGCATAAACGCCGTGGTAGGTGAAATTAGATGGCCATCGAGGCTGAGAGCTAAGACAGATAGAAACGTAGCTACAGCCCCTACAGTAAACGGCAGAGATTCCACAATTGATAACAGAGCTCCCCTCTTTAGGATGATCCAGATCTCCTTCCTAAAGGACATAAACAGGAATTCTCTTCTACTGGCACCTCATAGTGTAAATCAGTTATCGAAAGTGAATGCATTACTAAACCATGGTAGCTAAACTAAAGCATCAATCATATTTTTCATGACAATAAATTCAAAGCCATGAAAATGAAATCTGGTGGTTTTTTGGTTAGTAATTCCATTACTCAGTCGAATGACTGGATCGTCTGACGATTACTAAGGCAGAAGGTCGATCAGATGTACATGTATTTTAATGATAAGCGAACTTTATTCTTGTTCTCTTATAAGAAAGGACATCTTCCCTTCTTTGAAGAATATACCTAACCAATTATTACTTTTTTGTAGTTTTCACAGTGCTATTATTTTACATTATATTATTTTGCGTCTTAGTGCAATTTCGCGGAATGTCCTCTCGTACCTTCTTACTTCTTGAATCCTATCCTTATGGTCGTTCTCCAAGGCGTTTGCCTTAAGTGTGCGAATGCCTGATATCAGTTCAATCATCATTGATATGCGATGATCGGACACGGTGGCTGTTTCCTGCAGCAGCTGAGCACACAGGGATGAGATAATCATGACAAATGGAATCACCGCTACAAGGTAGAAAACTCCCACTATTGCTTCCCAACTGATGAGGTAAAACAATAAGGAAGTCACAGCTGCGATTTCGAGTATTGCGAATGTTGAAATGAATATCCGTCTGGGTGCCAATTCAATTCTTTCAACGTCAGTTGAAATTAAGTCGATAACATTTCCACTTGTCACTTTTCGAAGCGTCTGTTTACTGACCTACGGTATCTGAAAAGGATGATCACTTCCTGTTAGAAGTTGAGATGGATCGAGAGAAAGACAAACGGACAAACGTCTGCCGCTTAACTGATTGACCGATTGACTAATCGACTAACCGAGTGGTTGACTGATTCAATAACCAAAGAAATACATAAATAGATGGGTTAATGTCTCACCGACTAATTACAAGCTTCGTTTGCTGTCTAAATGACTGACCTTGAGGTATATAAGACCCTTAATAGCACTGCTGAGTCGCATTCCTAGAAGTTCTAACTGGTACCCAGTATAGTGAATACAGGCGGTAGATAAGCCGCTTAATGCTAGCAGGAAACAGCATCCATAGGCTAAAGAGTAGTCTCTCTCAGAGGAACGGAGCAAATGAAGAAGCAAACCGAGGAATAATGGCTGTAAAACACGACATACTGACTCCAAGAGCACAAAACATGTCAGGAAGGAAATCTTCCTTAAAGACGTGGTCCTGACGATGCACTTCCAGAGGCTGGGTTGTACTTTACACTCGTTATCCTTGTTGAGTTCGTTTACGTGTTTGTTCCATTCCTTCTGAAGGCTCTCTGTCAGATCTCTGGTCTTGTCATCCTCGTGAAGAGGCAGTATGTCAGAGTGTGCCAAGGGTCTCTCGTTCCCCATTCTAAATATGCCGTTCATCCACCAAAAGGATAATAATGATAACCAACTTGCAGATGTTGCAGGATGAACAGAGCTTGTGGTATCCACATCACTTGACAGTCTTCTGTAGCTTGCTTTTTCCAACATCCTGAATTTTAATAGCTAAATAAGACAACGAGAAGCATTAGATACATGAGGTATAGAGTAGCACGAAGACACAGCCTGATACATCGATTACTAGTTTAATAACAAGTTTGCTACTTAATTGAATTATGAGGTATCGCTACCGATTTCCTTTTTACTTCGAATGGATCTGAAAACGAAAACAACACGGAAAGCATCGATAGACATCGATAGATGTGCTTGATAAATTTGCTTATCCTGGCTGATACCCTTGCGAACATTTTAATAATAGATTCGCCTCTCCTTAACTGTTTTTCTTCTAAGTTTGACAATTGTTGCTGCACGAAAGTGAACCTCTATAACATAAACACTTTGCAGAATAGACCATTCTTGCGGATATGTTCTATTACTTAGCTTCCTCCCGATGGCCTTAGAAATTTCCGGCTTTAAACTTTGGTAGATCTCCGAGATGTCACCCTTAAAATGTCAAGCTAAGCGAGTTTTGTATTATTTCTTTACGAAACTTTAAGATTGTTGCGCTCTGGGATAATTATATCACATAGCTTCAACTGACACTTCAAGCAATTAATATTTAACTGTTGAAAAAAATTTTCCAGATTAAATTTCGCTTCCAAGGAACAGCTTTAGTGAAGGTCATGAAATTGGTAAACAGCTATTCGAACAGATCGGATGGAATCATTCTCGAAAAAAAAAAAAAAAAAAAGATTACCCTTCTAGCAGTTAAATTCTCTCCTCATAACCGTGAGACTTAATTAAAAAGAAGAGTTTGAACTCAGCACTGAAGTTAGGGGAACAATAATATCATGGTCGTGAAAGATCTCTCTAGGTCTGCCATGCCTCCACAGAGGTCTGTGGGTCATCCATCGAAAATAAATCGATATTGTGCCAGCGATAGTAAATTTCTATGATGCAATCGTTAATAACACCAAACACATAGAAAACAAATGACATGCATAACAAAGCAATTAGGTTTAAAGCAAATAAGGATTAAATCTATATTATTCTTATTCAATGTTTCAGTATTGGGTGACACAATGCTTCACAGAAAATTTTAATAAGTTAAATCGGATTTGCTTTTCATAGACTCTGCTAACTTACTCATTTCATATTCAAACACGTCTATTTACCCACAAGCAGAAATTAATTATGATTTTATGAATAAAAATGAGACATCAAAAAAGTCATAATGGTGATGGCATTAAATGTGTGGAGATAAATATCTTTTGAAATCCAGAATGTGAATTGAAATTGACCGCTTTGTGTCATTTATTTAGAATAAAGTTGGATTTCTTTAGACTACAACCAGATGCTTTATAACTACTCGTATTTGCTCTACATTTCAAAGCTGTTTTTCTCATTTTGAACAAAGTTTATGCTACCGGCATAAAGAGAAAAAAATGGTTCTCGACAGGTTTTCCATTGAGAGGATTTCGTTGGCAACGTAGATGTATAAATATCACAAGTTTTTCCTTCTAAAGGAGACTGAAAAAGTGTATTTTATCCGACAAAGAAAATGTCTTTCTTTGATTGATCTCAAAGCTAATAACGTTAAAATTGTTAGAGGTAAAAATAATATTTACCAACCTTAGCTTTAATCTCCTCAAATTTGCAATATACAACTGTTTTCTTTGAGTTATGTTCTTCCTGATTTGCACTTTTAGGCTCCACAACTCAGCCATGATGTTAATAACATATTTTTAAAACGTCTAGGGTCAAGCGTGAACAAACAAGTGTTCCCGAATTCCCACTATATAAGTTATTAGCTAAAATGTGATAAAATGTAAGAAACTAATCATATCAGCGACAAGAAGAGCGGTCGAAATAAGATTAGCTATTTGGTGATATGGAGTTTAGTTGCCATTTGATTCTGGTTTAGAGCTCTGCTTTTACCTTAATGACTCACCAGATTACCCTCTTAAATCTTCAGGGTATCTACTGATTTCTAAAGTAAAAGAAAGAAAAATTTACAAGCTAGAACTCAATCATAATTCTACACCGATAAAACTTTTAGCAATATCTACCTAATGAAAAGATGAGACGGGTACTGTGCTCTAACTTGGGAATATTACCTGGCTACCAAACAGTTGGTTCATACGGCGGCGCGCGTTCATCGAGATATGAAGCACTTGGGAAGTTTGGATAGCACAAAAGATGCGTAAGAGTTGCTCGAGGCTACGCCTCGAGCAACTCTTGAGTGCTCTCCAAACTTCCCAAGTGCTTCATATCTCAATGAATGCACAGCTGACGTATGAACTAATTGGTTTATAACGTTTTCAACCCGATGGTTTAAATGTTATAAAAGGGTTAATATTCTCTCTGCTACACTTCAGCGCGTTGATAATTTTGTTTCAGGAAGACATTTCGCTACGTACGTTGTAAACGATCTTGTCTTAGAATGGTCAAAAAACTGACAGGTGAATTCATACGTGTAAATGAACTTTATTTTCTGATTGAATAAAAAGTTCTCTTATCCTAAAGAAACACAAAGATGCTGTTTCATTGGCTAGTTTACAACAGGCCACATCCTAGCTTCGTGTGACAGAAAGTTCGACAAATCAAGGAAAGCATCGCAAGGTTCCCAAACATTTTTTCGTTATCGACACCAATGAATATTTCAAACATACTTTTATGGTATAAAAGCTGGCTCGCAACTTTCCATGTTTAGCTTAAATTGCCCCCGAAGTCTTAACCAGTTTTTTTAATAGTAAAATCCCAAAGTAAAAAATGGCGGAGAAATTTTTTTTTTGCTCAAGGGATTTTTTTGCTGATGTCATAGCGTGCACAATAGGAATACGCAGCACGCTCACGCAATTTAATTTGATTAGACAAACTTACTAGCTATGTTATAATGCAATTTATAACATAGCTTGTAAATTTGTCTACTCAAATTCAATTGCGCGAGCGTGCTTCATATTCCTATTGTGCACGCTCAGCAAACAAATCCCTCGAGAAAAAAAATTTCCATCGGGTAGAAAATGTTATAAAACAATTGGTTCATACGTCATCTATGCGTTCATCGAAATATGAAGCACTTGGGAAGTTTGGAGAGCACTCAAGAAACTAGAGTTGCTCTCGGCTACGCCTCGAGCAACTCTTACGCATCTTTCGTGCTCTCGAAACTTCCCGCGTGCTTCATATCTTGATGAACGCACGCTGACGTATGAACCAATTGTGAAATGACTGATAATCGTTTTACATAGCTTACGCGGCAAAATTTTATAATTATTTACTTTTTACGCAAGCTTTGTCAGGCTGCTAAATGTCTATTTGTATTATCAGTTTCTATAAAGGTTATAAAATCGGTTTTGCATCAAAAGAAAGTACTAGCACCCCTTGATTAGCATCCATTCAACGAAATCAGGTGATATCCTTAACAAAAAACGAAGATGCCTCATAGTGTGTTAGGAAAAAAGGGGGATAGTAAAAAAACTTTTGAAGAACAATATTATGTTTTCTTGTAAGTGTTTTCGTATGTTTGATCATAAAATATTTTAACTTTGTTTTAAGGAAAAGGAGGGCAATGAACATGACATGAAAGGAAGAGAAAAAAAGCAAGGTGAAACACGAAGCTGTACCCTGACCAGAAACGACCTTTCATGGCTTGTCATGACGTTAAAGAGGCCTACGAGTTATCTTTGAGTGATATGCAAATCCCATTGATTGAAAATTATAGCGAGAAGGTCGTTATTAAAACCAAACACAGGCTAAAAGCAATTAACCCGCACAATAAAGCAATTATATCCTTTTAAACACAAAATGCAAATTGAAATTGAATTGCAATGTTCTTTTAAAGCGAGAAATGCCATGGATACAGGATAGATCCACAAAATTTTCCTTAGCTCTGGATGCTACTGCATCTCACCGATAATATTGGTAAGTTGATTGTGACCATTAGAATCAGTCAACATTACTCGAAACACGATTATGTGTTTGTGTCTCTATCCTTTTTTGTTTTATGAACAAGGATGTTAAATGTCTTGTACGCGAACTTCGCGTGATTAAGAGTAACTAAAGAGATGTTCTAAGTGTCAAGGTGTTAATGCGTTCAAAGGTGAGGAAATTGTTAATGAAATCGAACAAAAAGCGTGAGTCTTGACAAAATTGCGGTCGGCCTGGTAGATGTTTATGTGTTACCGTTCATACACGTATAAGATAAAGGGAAATGAAATGATACCAAAACAGGTAAAACATGTATTTTGGGTATCCCTCATACATCGGCAAACGTGTGCTATATATTCAATTTTTCAAATATCGTCTGATGGGAGCTGCGAGAGGTTTAAATTGCGCCATGGCTTTCAAAACTTTCACATCTTATCATAGATATCCACCATAAATTTACGATTCAGTAACGCCGACTTTTATCCATCTTATTCTTTTTTTATTTTATATATATATAGGGAGTCTGTGTATTGATTTTTCCGTTTTACAGTGCTCGATACGTAGGAGTAGGAGCAGAGCGCGATATATTTTGTGATAGGGGAAAAAAACAGAGAGACTATACTTTCATCCCTACAAGTCTGTTTCGTGATTACTCACTCATCAGGGGATTTTATTGTTAAGAATATTCGTACTATCGTTTCTATATTTTACAAATTTGCATAATAGGCGTGGTGGTAAAGTACGATGATATATAGATATATACTTATATTTCTATTAACTGTTCAGGACAGTGACCTAATCCTCGACATGGAGGGACAAGGAATAAGTGCAACAAACTTGGCGGCTGTGGTGTTTGAAGCTTCGGCGAGCTATGAACAAATTAGACCCACCTACCCATTGGAAACTGTACGGTTCCTGTTGAGAAAACTCGGAATTCTAGAACATAACAAGATTGAAAATTATACCTTTACCAGAAATCTTCCGGTTACTGTTCTTGAATTAGGATCCCGCACAGGCAAGTTCACTCTAGTTATGGTTGAAATCTTAGGAGGCACCGGGACTCAAATAATCGCGAGTGATCCCACATTTACAATGATACAGCAGTTTTACCCTGCATTGAAATTCTGCAGTGTCGTGCAGAGAATATTGGTAAGTCAGGTTTAATTCACTTTTGCATCACCCTGTGAAATAGTTCAAACTATCTGTAATTGATTGCCTTGTAATAACGCAGCAGAAGTAATCTTTAATAATATTACGACAAAGTTAGCGAAGTGGAAAAAAATGAAAGAAAATAGAATAGTGAGAAGTTAATGAATGACAAATGGCCATAAATTGGGCGTGACTAAAGAGGCTATTTCATTATCATTATTATTATTATTATTATTATTATTATTATTATTATTGATAAAATCCGTTATTTTTAACTGAAACGCCGTCATAAAAATATGTTTTCAAGAGAAGCTTAAGGGAAAACTAAATAAAATGCAGCTCCGATCGCGACGAGTTAGTCTGGCACTAAAATTAAGTTTCCTTTCTCATTCGCCAGCTTCGGGATAACTTTGGAATGGTCTTTCAAGCTGCTATTTTGTGCTTGAATTTTTCGCATTTAGAAATTCCATTATATCTCTTTTGTCGATTTAGCTCTCCCAGACTCGAGTGTTGATGCAATTGCAGCAGTACATTGTTTTCACTGGTTCGCAAAAGAAGAGGCTGTGAGAGACATTTGCAGAGTTCTAGTGCCTGGTGGTTCTCGGGGAATGATTTGGATCCTTCCTGATGAATCAGTGCCTTGGGTTAAAGAGTTGTTGACATTTTTTCGCCCGTTGGAAAATGGTTTCGAGCACACAACTTCAGAAGATATTTCAAGTAGTCGGAAAACTGTTCACTGTCCAAAAGAATTCGACAACGAGGAAACACTGGCAGCTTATTTACGATGAATGTTACAATACCCTGGCTTCTAAAGGTGTTTTGCAAAGCAGCCCTGACGAGGTCAAAGATGGATTCAAGGTTTGGTTTGTTAAAGTCATGCGCAAGCATTTTCCTGATATCAAAGAAAACGACCAAATCCCTTGTCCGTCGGTCACGTTGATCTGTTGGTGCAAGAAAAAGGAAATGATACAAAATTTAGCATGAACCTCCTGGTTCCTCTCTGATTTGCTTGATGCTTGCGAACTTTTTTATATGACCTCTAGCTCACTCGTATTAAAAGGTTTAATTAGGTCCTTTAGTCACCAAGTCCACGCCCTAAGGTCTTTTTAGTACTTTCCTAAAATGCTTTCGCGCACGATGCATAACTCGTCGCGACTCATAACGAGTTCAGATTTGGGGCAGTTGTATCAATTATCGTAACTTGGTCCCACTTTCGGTTTAGAGTTAGTCATCAGAAATTAAAGTGTATACCGATATCCATGCCATGATTATCACACCCATTAAAATCGGCCGTATTACCTCATCATCACAGTCGAATATCTAACTATCGCTTGGTTTCATTGTTGAGAGGAAGGGTGTGGGGGGATTCATTAACCTAACTATTCGAGAAAGATTACAGACACAGAGAAATTCAGTGGTAAACACGTTTAGTACAAATATAAAGGATATTTACGCAAATATTGGCAAAATAAGGTATTTTTGTCATGGTATCAATTTTCTATCACTAGGATTAATTCCCATTTGATTTGAATATTGTTTTGTCATTATCGTCGCTATTTTCATTATCATTGTCGTTATAATTATTGTTGTCATTATCATTATGGTTATCATTACTTCAACGAGCTTTTCCAGATAATTTTCCTCGACACTTCCTATATCCTACTTTGCCTTTTCCTTGAAAATAATAATAAAAAAGGAGTTAAATGGTGAGGATGTTGTCACTTTCAACAACAATATGAAAAGTACAGCATCATTCATGAGTGAGCTTAGATTTTCCGTGTAAATTAATTCCAATATGCTTTCTGCTGTTCGTAAGCTTAAATAGGAATGTTTGCATCATTTATGCTGAAAAAGTAAATTTTTCATCCTCTACCACTACCAGCTTGAAGTAAGGATTGCAATAAAATTTCGGTCAAGAAAGAGTGAAATTACGCGATTTGTAGATAATTTTTTGTATTGAATTTGTATTATATCAAGACATTGGAAAAAATTTTCATTAAAAACATTTCTGGTTCATGCTGCGAGAAGAAAGGTTACAACGTTAGCAACCATTTGAAACTTGCTCAAGGACCAGCCTGGATCACCTGACCTTCTCTTTAAGGCTACGCGAAAAAAGGCAAATAAAGAAGAGTCCATTCTGTACCCACAGCGGCACGTCTATACTCCATAGGAAATCTCAACTCTTGTAAAATTTTAGAAAGTACAATCAACTCGTTATCCATCATCCCCAATGAAACATCGTGAAGTTCTCTGAGTATTACAGATTTTAGGGAAAGAGAGCGGGGAGAAAGTTATCAGGATTTCTCTTTATATATGTCTTTTAAAAAAGCACATAACCAAATTACTTATGCCCAGATACTATAGAAATTCATTATGCGTGAGAATTCATAAGTAGCCTTTCCTTAAGAGCCTATTGGGGGCGAACATATTAAATATAACCAAAAACGTGTAAAATCTCGAGGAAAATCTATTGTGGGAAACAATCTTTAAATAAAATTAAATATTTCCAAGAAAGAAATTTTTGAATTTTAGATTTGGATTTCCATCGTGTGAGATAATCGTAGTTAAACAAGTATATTTTAGAACATTATTTAAATAAGTCACTAACAAAAACACGATAATTTTCGTAAGTCTAAGTTATTCCGACCTATTTTCCTGGACACATGTTCTTCCTTTTGGCTAATGTGTGCATGTCTATCATGTCTTTTTCTCAGCAAAGTTTGTTCTTTTTATTTTTATTATTATCATATTGTATTCATCCAGGGTCAACAGAAACGACAGTATGGAAAAAGATAACTGCATAGTTTTACGTGTGACTTTTATTCTACTTTCTACTTCACTGTAACATGATCATTTGTTTGTTCTGTCATTAACGAATGAACAGTTTTTATTTCAATTTATCATTTGCACTGGATTTCCATGACTTCTTCAGCCGTACACTGCAAATTGAAAGGAAAAAAAAGGGTTATTACAAGTGAATGCACAACTTACAAGCATATTATCATGCTTGATCAAGGGCATAAATTTCGCTAACGAATTGTTAGTTTTTGCCCAAACGTTGCGGGTCTCTTTCATTTCAACTAAAGTTTAATCCAAATTAAGAGACATCACAGTATGGAATGAAAAATGGAGGAAAATGAGAGCCGTACCTGTTTTTAAAACCTTCATTCAAGTGCTGCCCTTTGCGTGGAATCAGTAGACTGGGCCTGAAATGTTAACAATAATATCGTTTTTAAAATTGTAACTACCTCACAGATGACTTATTTTGCCTTGCAACTGTTTATTGATACATAGCCAAATTGAAATAAACAAAGGACTCTAAGGATTCTGGCTATGTCTTTTTGCTTCTCTTGGAATGATATACTACAAAACGTCACCAGAAGTGCCATATTAAGAAATTTGATCCATGATGAGTACTTTAAGGGGAAGAAACTAAACAGGGTGAGAGCTGATCTTATGAGAAAGAGGCAGAAAGCACACAGAGTCATAAAAAAGAAACATCAAGAAAGATTAAGAATAATTTTAAAAAAATGATCAAAAATTGCTTGATGCAGTATTCCTCAGAAACCTCCAGAATGAGAAACAAAAACAGTACTAACTTCTCTTTGCAATAAAAAAAGGTTAAAACCTTCAATCTTAATTTAAAGGTGTAAATGTGATGTACGAAAGCGCATTAAGTCCCTTACAAGGCTTGTCCTTGCAATGTTCCACCTGGTCGTTAAGCCCAACACAACCAGAGCCTCCATACTGTGGAGGAGGATTTGCACATGAACGTGATCTCTTTCTGTAACTCTGACCACAAGTCTTGGTGCATGACGTCCAGGCTCCCCAACTTGTCCAATTACCATCGACTGCCATTGGATAAAAAGGTGTAAATCATCCAGAAAATGATCCCACACGTTTAAAAGATGTTACAAAGGCTAAATTTTGAACTCTATGGTCAAAAGCGAATCAACTAGAGAGGTACACTAATAATAAATCTATGGTTCGATTATAAAAAGCAAGACTCGCCCCCTTAACGATGTGAACAGGCTAATGTAAGACCTCCCTCAACATAAGATGTCGAGCAAGAATTGCTAAATTAAAGCTTGCAGTGCAAGTGGTATTTAAAAAGTAAAATATTATACCGAAAATTGGAAAAAGGAACGTACCAGGGCAAGGATAATAGGCGTGGCATCTCAACTTTTGGTGCCCAATACCTACGCATGACTTTCCATTGTAGGCTGGTTTTGGATTATCGCAAACACGTTTTCTCTCTCGACTTCCATACCCACACGTGGCACTGCAGGCACTCCAAGGAGCCCACGAGCCCCAGCTTCCATCGACTGTGGTGAATATAGGAACGAAAGTGTGACTGGTTGAATTCTAATACCCTATGCATATGGAACACATCCGCAAAATTTGTAAATCAGCAAAACAAGGCTATTTTTAATATGCATAAACAGCGCAGAGACCAGCGGGTAATACATTACATTATTCATTGATTACATTACTGAGATATTATTATACATCAGATAGCAATGCCAGATCGATATACGAAATTTGTTTAACAACTTGTTTCTTTTCCCATTTATCAATCACATCATAATCCACAGAACAAGTGTTTTATCAACGAAAGTTAACGAAAATCGGTATTGATCTCCTATTGACCACTGGCAAATCTGATGCTTCCCTTTACAAAATACAATAGTAGTAGGAAAAAAGACAATATATATATATATATATATATATATATATATATATATATATATATATATATATATATATATATATATATATATATATATATATATATATATATAGCACTTTGCATACTACTCTAAACTTCATTACCTGGACAAGGGACGTCCTTGTTACAAACAGTTTTCTCCCTAGCGCTGCCTTCGCATTTTTTACCACCATACTGAGGTTTGGGTGAATTGCATTCACGAGTTCTCGATTGCTCCCCTTGTTTGCAACTCTTACTACACGTGCTCCATGCACTCCACGCACTCCAATTTCCATCCACTATTAATGATAAGAAAACCAAAATGGGGAAAATGCGCTCATTACTGCTATTTAGTGTAAGTATTGGAGGTTTTCTCAACCAAGTCATAACAGCTCCACCAATTCTGTCCCGCTTACTTATCAACTTCTTCATGGTGGTGAGGTTGGAAGACAAACTAAGGAAAAACTGTTCTTAGGATCACATGTATTCCCTAAATAGTGGGTACTTTGTTAAGATCAAGGTAACAAAAAATGACTGCTGAAATGTTTGTGAACAGTTATACAACCTTAAGGTGCTACAAACCAGAATGAAGAAAATAGGCCAACCCTAGTGGCAGGTGTCCCGGACCAATCAAAGAAAAATAATTGAATATTCTTCAAAAGCTAAAAGGTTTATTCATGCCATCCCACATGCATTTGTAGGCCTTCTTCATACCTGGACAGTTGTTCTGATTGCAAGGCCGTATTTGTCGAAATGCCCCTTCACATTTCTTGCCACCGTGCGCAGCTGCAGGGCTGTTGCATAAACGCTTCCTCGAATGTTCTCCTCCTCCACACGACTTGCTACATGTAGTCCAGGCTCCCCACTCGCCCCAGTTTCCATCCACTAAGAGAGTGTACAATAATTCATGGTACGACCACGGCAAATGCCAATCAATAGCTAGTTATATCTGATTCTATGATTCTGAGTTTATTTTAACCGAAATACCACCAAATTTATTTTTTTAATTCTTTCGGAATATTAAAGTTAAGCTCTCATTATCACCCTCAGTACAAGCATTTAAAAAACTTTTGAATAGCAATAAATTGTCATCGAGAAAATTATAGAAAAGAGAACATAGCATTTAACAAGTAAACACAGCTTTCTCAAAAAGGACGAGAGTGCAAAACTTGAACCTTCGGTGAAGTAAGCGACTAAAGCTGTATCCCCCTGTCCTCAAGATATTTTCACTCTCTTGATGATAATTAGGGTAAAACTGCACTGTTAAAGCAAGGAAACGGCAAAGTAGAAACTTCTTGAAGGAGAAACACACTCCCTTCCCTGAAAAGTATTATATAAACTTGCCTGGGCAAGGAATATTCTTATTGCAAACTTGAGTTTGACCAGATTCGCCGTCACATTTCTTTCCACCATACTGAGGTTTTGGTGAGTCGCAAGCACGGGTTCTTGACTGTTTTCCTTCTTTGCATGTTTTGCTGCACGTGTTCCATGCGCCCCATTGTCCCCAGTTTCCATCAACTAGATGAAAAATTCCGCAAAAAACGGTAGTAGTAGTACTAAGTAGTCTTAGTAGTTAATCTCCTTAACTTGAAAGCTCATAATCATACCATTTTTTTTTTTATAAGTACTCTAAGATTACATATGTCCGCAACACATACGAATTGTATAAAACGCATTAAATACCGACACTAAGCAGAGGGTAAAGATAAGTGAATGAAGATTACACATTCAACATTGCTCCTTAAGTGATGTCTCTTAGGATACTAATAATGTTCACCCATATCCCAAGAGGACCTAGAATAGCCAATCGTATATAACAGGTTTTGCGTTGTCTATTCCTTCTCAACCAAGATGTTTCGAGTAATGTCATTTTCGAGAAAAGAGATATAAAGACTCCAAATTTTAACTCTAAAGAATTCCTTCACAAATAAAACCGTTGGGGTAACTCGGACTTCTGACCAGATCTTATTAAAGCTTTAATGCATACCTGGGCAAGGGACTTTGTTGTTGCAGATTTGATTTTCATCAGCTTCTCCTTCACATTCTCTCCCTCCATACTTTGGAGCAGGGCTATCACATTTACGAGTTCTGGATTGTTTTCCTTGCTTACATGTTTTGGTACATGTGCTCCATTCACTCCACCCTCCCCAGTTTCCGTCAACTTAGCACCAGACGAAAGCAAAAAAACTAAGTTTTATCACTTAATACCAAACGATTTTTATGAAACCTTTCAGTGCATGCCGAGGCAACTGTCTGCACCTCAGAATATTGAAAAGAGTTTTTTGAAAGGAAGCGAGCTGGATACCCAGCGACCGTCTAAAAACTAAAAACTGCCACCGTTCCTAAGTCTTATTTCGGTAAAAGTTAAGGCTTAGTAGTAACAAAATGGGCGAAAATCTAATTACAAGTCATGTTATAAACAATGCATCCAACTCCTTAATCATAGCTATTGAATACAGTTTGCCATGATCAATCCTGAAAGAAGACTTACATACCTGGACATGGGACTTTGTCGTTACAAACTTGTGTTTCTTTTCCACTTCCATCACATTTCTTTCCACCATACTGAGGAGAAGGTGAATTACATTCACGTGTTCTCGACTGCTTCCCCTGCTTGCATGTCTTAGTACAAGTGCTCCATTCACTCCATTTTCCCCAGTTTCCGTCGACTAAAGTTGAAAATATGGAGAAGGTTTTTATCACAGTTATATCTCCTGCCAGGCTATGAAATGTGCCTCGGTATCCATCCATCTATCTTTCTATCTATCTATTTATATTTATTTACATCTAAGTATATATATCTGGGTATCTTTGTTTGTGCTTCAACCAAAAGCGGCAACTTTTAAGAAAATGCCACTACAACTATGGAACTACAAGCAATGTCAAAGGAGACATTTCATAACTATCCCGAAAGAGTGTTGTAGTAGAGATGATGCATCACCCTTACCGACAAGTCAGATGTTTGCCACGAAATCACGATCCGCGTAATACGTATATGCCCATTAAAGGACTATGGTAAAACACAAATCCCTGAAGGAATGCATTGATTACCTGGGCAGGGGACTTTGTCGTTACACACTTGGGTCTCCATTCCTTCTCCAGCGCATTTCTTTCCACCATATTTAGGAGCTGGTGAATTACACTCACGAGATCTGGACTGCTTTCCCTGTCTGCAAGTTTTAGTACAAGTGCTCCACTCGCCCCATTCACCCCAATTTCCATCAACTGAAATCGTAAAACATGTAGAAACTATCAATGACGCTTACATATCGATTTTTCAAGCTTCTGATGACGTCTATACATTCCGTTTTTCCCAATATAAAATGAAAAATATGTTGTTGATCAAACTTTTAAGCAACTACGAGCAAGCAAGGTTATGTAATAACGTCTGCTTCTCCACTAAAGTAGCATTGTAACAAAGAAAACCAAATGTTTGTATTTTAAGAAGTCTTAGCATGTAAGTAATATGCTTTTGGGGTAATTTAGCAATTTTAAAGTTGAACGTAATGTATTATGGAAAGGAATGAAAAAAAAGGAAGGGGAAAGCAACGATAAATGTGCTTAAGCCTTTGTCGCCGAAAAAGTAAACATAATTTGCTTTCAAATTTTGTAATTTTAAGCTACCATTGCTATCGATTGTTTCTCTTCTGGGGAACAGCGGCTTTGATAATGAAAAATTTCATGTTGTCTCAATTACTACCATGACGAAAAATGCACTATCGTTATCTCTATCTTCACAATATCAAGAGTTTCACCAGAAATAAAAGTGTGAACTCTACATCTTTCAATCAATATCCGATCACCAAGGTAAATCGTCTCTGAAAGGTTAATGTTTACCTGGACATGGGACTTTGTCGTTACACACTTGTGTTTCCTTTCCTTCTCCATCGCATTTCTTTCCACCATACTGAGGAGCTGGCGAGTTGCATACACGTGTCCTCGACTGCTTCCCCTGCTTGCATGTTTTTGTACAACTGCTCCATTCACTCCATTCTCCCCAGTTTCCATCAACTGAAGACCAGACATTTAAAAGAATCGTTAGCTCATTCCTGCAATGCGATCATTTGCAGTTATTCAGTGGGCGAAAGCTTAAAGCAAAATGCATCATGTGATTGCCGAACTGCAATTTGAATACCTCGAATTTCCTTACAAAGCTAGATAGACTTCAATACTAAAATCCATGCCTACCAGGGCAGGGGACTTTCTGGTTGCAAATCTGAGTCTGGCTAGACTGTCCATCGCATTTCCTTCCACCGTACTGAGGAATTGGTGAGTTACATTTGCGTATTCTTGATTGTTTTCCCTGTTTACAGGTCTTTGTGCATGTACTCCATTCACTCCATCCTCCCCAGTTTCCGTCAACTGAAATTCAAAATTTGTTGTATGGACAAGTTTTAGAGTGATAAGTCTCATTCCCATTAGGTCGGAATATTCTTTTATGAACTTTTATTTCTGGCCGTTTATTTTGATTACCATCCCAAAATTGTTCATTTAATGCTCCTTTCAGTGAAAGGGGAAATGTTGAGAGGTGCTAGAGAATAAGTTCGTTAAGGTGATGATATATTAAGTCATTTTTAATAAGATGTCACTCGCATCATCGTAATTTCTCGTTGATTTCTAGAGAGGTCTAAAGAGAGATATCGTTGAGTCTAAACGTAGAAGATTATAGCCTGGACAGGGGACCTTTTGATTGCAAATTTGAGTCTGGCCGGAATTCCCGTCGCATTTTCTACCACTATATTGAGAAGCTGGTGAGTTGCATTTCCGTGTTGTTGATTGTCTTCCCTGTCTGCACGTCTTTGTACATGTGTTCCATGCACTCCACTGCCCCCAATTACCGTCAAATAAAGACATAATCATTCATTATTTCGTACTAGGTTATATCTTCTCTCGTGCTGGAAATATTAATGTCCCTTTTTTCAGTCTATCAATAGGTCCTTAAAGTTTAATATCGAAAGCTGTTCATACTGATTAAAGTGGAAAGACGATTTCTCTTTACCCGCCAACACAGGCGAGAAAATGGTAAACATAGGATTCAATGCAAGATATATAACTGACCTGGACATGGAACATTTGCGTTGCAAATACGGATTCCAACTGCCTTTCCTTCACATGCTTTTCCACCGTACTGAGGAGTAGGCGAGTTGCACTCACGCTTTCTGGATTGTTTTCCCTCCTTGCACGTCTTCGTACATGCACTCCACTGTCCCCATTGCCCCCAATTTCCGTTTACTAATTTAAAAATCAAACACATCTTTTAAATCATTAACTACATGTAAGGTATTTCACAAACTCACAAACGACACAAAATTGTCAGAAAGCATTTGAATGGTGGTGAGGCAATTGTATTCAATAAAAGTCTATGTCAGTCAAACAAAATAATAACCATAGGTGCCACTTCTCGATTTACCAATGCGTTTTATTCATTTACTTTCTAAAAAAGTTATGACATGACAGATGGGGTAAAAATTCAGACTAAAAAGCGTTTACAGTAGGTAAGCAATTTTATCAAAACAAAAACCAAAACAAAAAAACAAAAAATGAATGATCACTTTTAAAGTGAGACTCAATAGCATTTACTGTATATCAAGAAAGGTCTAGCCTACCTGGACATGGCACATCATTATTGCATACTCTGGTCTCTTCTCCATCTCCTTTGCAAGCCTTCCCACCATACTTTGCCGCCGGTGAGTTACATTTGCGTGTTCGCGACTGTTTTCCCTGCTTGCAAGACTTTGAACATGTGCTCCATTGGCTCCACTCTCCCCAGTTCCCATCAACTACGTAATAGACTTATTCTAATCACAAATCGTAAAGAGCACCTTTGGATTGAGTGTTGTAAAATCAAAACCAAAGTAATCGCGTTGGCTAATCAGAAGAAAGGAAAATATCTTTGAGAGCCAATGACAAGTCAAAATAAAAACAAATAAACCGCCTAAAATACAAGAAAGTCTTGTTTTGTGCTAGTTTTGCGTCTGACTGGCCGGTGGGTGCGATTTCTTTAGGGCCAATCACAGACAGAAATAAACGGCAACCAATGAAATCTGGGATCACTTTCGACGCTAAACAGAAAATTGCTCTATCTGACAAAAATTACCTAAACAGCATTTTATATTCTCTTCTTACATTTCAGATATATGAAGAAAAAAATAGGTGAGAAAAATACAACATTTTTTTCCTTTTGGAATATTACGCTTGATTTGAAACCAAAGTGAGTTCAACCCACCTGGACACTCGTCAGTGTTGCAATCGCGTGAACTCGCAGATGTACCGGGACATGCTTTGCCACCATATGCAGGTTTGGGATTATTGCATTCTCGTTTCCTTCCCTGCCGACCGCCACCACAACTCTTCGAACATTCACTCCACGAGCCCCAATGGCCCCAGTTTCCATCAACTACAAAAAAAAAATGGACGGTAGAGACATCATCAAGACCAGTTTCATCTTCCAACAATTCTTACTGGACAAGCACTGACTATTTGACGCGTATTTCTGCTACATTGCACTTCCTTTAACTCTGCTTTGACTCATTCAACCGAAATTTCTCACCTTCACAAATACTACAAGTTCTCTGGCACTTGAAGTACTTGAAAGAGGGAAAATTGCAGTAACCCTTTTTCTTGTAGTGTTCGCATTTCTCTGTGCCGAATCGATCGCTGTCTAGTCCTAAAAAAAAAATGGAATGAATCCACGATTTCGTGAGAACCAATTTTTAACGATACATCGATTTAGACAATACTTAATCAAACTGCAAGCAGACGTTTACGCGCCCATGCAGTTAAAGAACTACAAGATTTAATCAAACATAATTTCCTTACTGCAGATCTCCATTTTTCTTACCGCCAAGATTTATAAGATGCGTCAAACATACCAATGAAAAATTCTAACAGCACCTTTACACCCTGAGCATGTTTTCCTGCAATCCTTCATGTGATGGTAACACTTTCCATCTGACTTTATCTTGAAACATTTTTCGCATGAGTAGGTGTCCAAACAATCTGGAAAATTAATTTAAAAAAATAAAATTAAAACAACAATAACTGTCGGTATAATGAAAAACGACAATTAAATTACGCTCTGTAAACTACTTTAGTGTAGAAAATAAGTTCCTCCACCACCTTTTTTCCTCCCTTATCATGCAATGTTTTATTTTGTCAGAACTACTGATAATGTCAATTCAGGCACCAAGGTATAAAAGAACTCAAACACGCAAGTAGTACGAAAGGTGACCTTTCGGAACAAGATTTGATGAAAAATAAGATTCAAACACCAACTGATCTGTAAATAAGTTTAAATGATAGTTGTTTAATCTTAAGCGCATTCATTGTGAACTTACCGTTAAAGTAGTCAGAATCATCCGCGGTAAAGCTATCAAGATCTGTAAATATAGGCTCTAGTCGTATTAGTCAATAGTATTATAACCACATGCATATGGTATTTTAAGTCTGATGGTGTATATCTGTCAAGCTGATAAATGAAAGCGCGCCTGATCGTACATATGAATCTAAACCAGATTTTCCAATATCAAGTGAAGCATTTAAGTTAGGCAAGTGTGTTCCTCAATCCCTTAATTGAAATTACATCAAATGGGTACAGGACGATAACACCTACATTTTAAGAGGAAGACAATCATGCATTAGGAAATGAGATCTAACATGTCACGTGGTCGCACATGCTATCTATCATCACTTCGAAGGACTTTTCTGACCAAGTTTCCCCTAGCGTTTTTTTTTCCTTCTTTTTGGTCCAATTTGAAATACTGTGTGATTTCACAAATAAACGTTTTACCTTCTACGGCATCAGAGCTCTCGGAAAATGGCCAAAACGCGGAAGAACACTGAAGAGAAATGGAAAATACTAGCAAATTACGAAACAACATTTTGATTTTGCACGTTTTTCGCGTTACCTTCTTACCTGCCTGTGATACAAAAAAGCTCAGTTCGCACTTATATACCATTGAAGAATCATGAGTACGCATTTTTTTTTATTCGTACGTCAATTGAAATAAACTTTTCCACAAAAGAAACTATGGGGGACAAAGTAGACAATACATAGATCGCTACTTATGTTCGCTTTCAATTTTGATCAAGCTAATTTCAAAGAAGTAGAGAACTTTCGAAAAACGAATTTAGAATTGCTACTATTTCCATTTTTTAACTGCAACATGCAATGCATGCATTTTTTTAAAGTAGGTGGTGCCCTTTCTTAAGATCTTAAAGGTTTTTTTTTTTTCGAAAAAAATATGTAAAAGTCTTAACCTCGAAATAAATTATGTTGCCTCCTTATTTTAGATTTGATTCTCCTTTCTCTGGGTGGGAATTTTTTCTTTTATTTCCAACAGAACACCGAGTTTGATATCCTAAAACAATATATATATATTTTATTCAACACAACTGAATAAAGGTTTGGATAGTCTTCCTATTTCTACATTTTTCAAAATTAGCATTGGAATTTGCAGAATTCACGAATTTCACTTTACAAGCAAAGAAGATTCATGGTTAAAAAGCAATCATGTACCGTTTCGTGTGAGGCAGTGGGCATGTTGTAATATCGCGGAGTGATTCAGTTTTGTGTTTCTTATTTCGCCTAGCTTTAAGTGCACACTCGGTAATCGAATTATTTGTGGAGCAATATCAGCAGAGTCACTCATGGGTGGTAACACGATATGGTACTCTTTACACAAAAAGCATTCATTAAGGCTTTCTTTAACGATTGAGAGCACATTTGTCTCCAATGTTTTCAAAGAAGCTTTTAAAGCTATCCTTCAAAAAGTCACTAAAAGTATTTTTTTTCTTTTCATAAACCTAATTTGATGCTCTCATCGAGTTGTACCTGCCCTCATTCTATTTCTCGTCCATTCTATTTTAGTTAGCCATAATTAGCAGCTAATATAAGTCCCCAGTATCGCAGTCGATTTACTGATGTTTTCAGCCCGTGTTGCCGGTGTTTCCGCTTTCACTGGAGAATAAAGATGATGGTAAATAAGGAATCATCATCAATAATGCATTAAAAAGGAGACGAACACGCACTTTCCAAAGATGTCATTTATGTAAAGGAGAGTAGGAGACTTGGCTCCGTAACCGAAATATAATACGGCCTCCTCAGCCAAATGGAAGCGGTTTTGAAATCCAAAACTTCGTGTGATTAAGACGCCATAAACGAATCAATTGCGGTTATTGAGAATAAACAACTAAATTAACGTTTAATTTTCAGTGACCACAATCTGGCATGAAAGATTTATTGGACTGGGAATGTTAGATTGAGACCCAACAGTTTCCTGATTGAAACTTTCTGCAAGTTTTTTTGAGAGCAAAATTGAAATTAACTAAGTCGACAGCTTAAATGATCTGGAAAATACAAAAAAAAATTTAAAAAGGTAAAAGAGGTAAATTATAAGTAAAACGCGAGAACGGTATTCATAAGCTATACTGGTTTCGTGTCAAATACTGATATTTGGTCTAAAAAGGTCTTTTGTTGTGGAGGGTATTATAGGAGATTGCTCTTTGGAATAACTCCATTGTCTTGTAATTGCGATGGAGAGACAAGTGATTTTGATTTTACTCTTTGTTCTAACCTTCTCTTATTCTTTGTCTACGGGAGAACTTAAAGCAGGTAAGCCATTATCTATTGACGTACACTCGATGCAGTTGCTCTAAAGGATGTACTAAAAGATTTAAAGAGAAAATACTGTAGAGATGGATCGTAGGGAAAGTTACTCAAGTGCAAGCCCTTTTAGCGAGAAGTGCCTTTAAGTCCTTTAAAGGGGCTCATGCACATTCATCAAAGCATCGGATTATAAATTTATCCTTAATTCCCTAGAATGTTACCGCTTTAGAAGAAAACTGTTGGAACCGTAATCTATTCATGCCATTTCTTTATCGTGATACAATGGCGTTGTAGGAGGCCCTATATTGTTAACTCCTTATTTTAATAAATAGTTGAACTATCCATGATAAAAATGCTTTCTTTTTAATTAGATCTTGCTGAGGAAATTGAAGATTTACTAGGTAATTTTTCTTTTATTTCCAACGAGCATATATAGTAGTGGTTTGGTGACTCACTCGTAAATCCAAAAAACGTAAATAAAATATATTACCTGGGGAAGGTTTCTAGATCGGTTATTACTTCAACTGCTAAAAACTTGAGAGCAGATGTATTTTGCAATGATTAAATAGTCACTAACTGCTCATAGTCTGATATCTAATTATCTCGGTTATAATAGGTGATATCGACTCATGAACGTACAATTCTCTTTTTTCTAAAACGTTTTGGAACATCTTTCTTTCTACTTTATGCATTTCAGATAGCGTGCAAGATGAGAGCAACGCATTGAAAGGTATCACTGTTCTTTTAAGAGTACCTTTACGTGTGTTCAGAAGGAAAGAATAAGGAATACATTTAAAATGAAAATTATTGAAAATTAACGAAAAGTAATCTATCCCTTCATAATTACGTGCGATCACATATATTTCCTGGAATCCTTTGCGCAAGATGAATACACCGATAGAGTTGTCGAAACGTAGGTAAAACGAGTATTCGAAACGAACCTTGTTTAGTAGAATAAATAACGGTCAACCCTATCCAATTTTGCTTTTCAATAGATTTTCTGTCCTCGTTTCATTCATTTCACCCCCTTTTTTATTATCCCATTTCTTATTTATGTTTTATAATCCCTTTAAAGCGTTGCTTTCAATTTTTTATTCATGTAGGATGCTACGACAAGTCGAAATATTGGTGCTTAAAATTTTCAAATTACTGCTCTCATATTTTTGTGTCAACCTCTTGTCCAAAAACCTGCGGCCGATGTTCAGGTATGCTTATATCTCCTTTAAACGAAAAATGCAGAAGGAAACAGGTTTTAATAAGGACAGAAAGTCTCTATCAGTTTTCTTATTCTTGAACGAAAAAGGAAAAAAAAAAAGGAAAAAGAAAAAAGCCCATAAGGATAAGTCCAATCCATGTAGGAAAAGCATGACGAGACGATATGCTTGGGTACACAGGGAATAAGAGAGAATTAGGTTATTGGTTTTGGCTTCGTTGTAATTCCGCATCTCGCAGGATTATTACATGAAATCCCCTTTACGTCTCGTTGGGCTTTCTTGTTCACTGAGGCGTTGCTTAGTTTTAAAGGATCAATCGGAAAAAATTATTTCAGTAGTATACATGTCGTTGGATCGCAATGCCTTCAGCTTTACACGTTTAAACTAAAGCAATCAACTGTGGATATTGAAAGCGATATTCTTTGTTTTACAGATGGAGGTACCTGGAGCTCATGGAGTCCTTATAGTCCATGCTCTAAATCATGCAATGGCGGTTATCAGTTTAGATCTAGGAAATGTAACAATGCCTCTTCAGTTCAGGGTAGAAGTGCTTGTTCAGGACCTTCAATGGAAACGCAGATTTGCAACCAATTTGTACCGTGTTCAGGTATCCATGGAAAAAAGAAAAATAAAGCCACTATTAAAATGGATAACTTTGAAATCAATATTTATGATTGAATAACTTAAACAGAAACTAGGGAAAAGCGTTCCGAGGTATAATTACAGATCGAGATCGCTCGAGATATGCTTTTTTTAATTATTATTTAGTTTAACTTCAGCTCTGAATTCCTCATCTTAGAGGATTAATTTTCGATGAATGCATGGCCGTTAAGTCTGAGGAGACAAACATATCAGCGGTGGAAGTAGACGCCGTTTTAGCATGCTTGCTTATACGTATCACCAAACCGTAATTCTTCATTCGGAAAATCGATTTCCTCTTTCCCCGCTATCTTTTGCTATATCCTTATAACTTTGCGATGAAATGTCTGAGGTCTGATGTCTTACGGCTGGGAGAATATGGGCAGAAACAGGCTAATCTATTACTTTTTAAGGCATTGCCTAATCAAAAGAAAACATATCCCAATAAGTAACAGTGTTAATCAAAGCCGAATTTTCCCCATGTTTGTTGCAGTTGGTGCCCCGTTAGCTGCAATGGAATCGGCAGAAGGCAGATGGGCAGCTTGGGGTCCATACACCACTTGCAGCAAGTCCTGTGGAGGAGGCACGCAATCAAGAATACGCAAATGCGTCGACCCATCTCGTTCACATAGTTTAAAGACATGCAAAGGGGCATTTAGACAACGTCGCCAGTGCAACCTTAATCCCTGTCCAGGTAAAAAAAAAAACAAAAATTCAAAACAAAAACAATACAAAAAAAGTCAGCCACTATGCATCAACGCATCACGAACGATTTAAGACGTTTAATATCTCAGTGTATGTTTATTATTGAGTGGACAAAGAAATCGATAACAGGAAAAATCGTTTAGCTGATGTCCGTTTGGGTTAAATCATCATTTTCTCTACTGTCAATGCCTTTCTAGTGCAAGATGCAGACGGATTATCCTTTCATTAACATTTGTTTATTTATGTGTGTTAATTTGTGTCAGTTGATGGTGGTTGGGCGTCATGGGGACCCTATGGACCATGCAGCAAAAGCTGTGGTGCAGGAGTGCAATATAAATATCGGAAATGCAAGAACCCAGCACCAGAACATGGTGGAAAACGATGTGCAGGACATTATAAGATGTCTCGTCACTGCAACGCAGGAGTATGTGCAGGTGAATAACTGCTCCTGTAATTATTTATGTTTGTGGTCGGTTCTCTCTATCGATAATTAGTGAGCAAGTAATTACCTTACCGTTTCATCGCACTCTTAATTCTGGTTTAATTTCATTATGAGAATTGCCCACATGTTGGTGAGCAGAGAGAAAAAATGTTACCAGTTGGCCATCGTATTTCATCCCATTGGCAGAGTGGGGAGAATCTGTCAGACTTTTATCAAATACCCTCATTTTTGCGACTAGTTGATGCCATGTAGTTTTCCTGGGGAGAATGTAATCAGGTTGCTAAGAATTATGTAAGAAATAACCTAGAAAAAAACCCTAGCCCTTCGAATAGTTGTGTAGCTGCACTCGGTAGAGAGCATCGGTCCGCAAAATCCCGCTAAAAAAATCCCCAAAATCCTAAAGAGTTTGGCTCGATATAGCTTCTAGGAGGATCAGATTGTTTTTATTTATCGAGGCTAGAGACAAGATGAATAAAAGCGTTCCTTAAATGGTTAACATTGCTTTTCTGTGACAAAAATGTAAGACCATGAAATTATTTTTTTTTTTCTTTACACCAGTTGATGGTAACTGGTCTCTATGGAGTGGTTTTGGAATGTGCTCCAAGACTTGTGGAGGAGGCCTAAAACACAGGACCCGCCTTTGCAATAGCCCACCTCCTAACAATGGAGGAAAAAGCTGTCAAGGGCCTTCGCGAGAAACGGTAGATTGCAACACACATCCATGCTCAGGTAAAGTGTGAACTCATCACATACAAAAAATTACCTTTCCTTATAAATTCAGATACAATTTAGACTTCATCAATTTAAATTATGGTACAATCTTGGAATTGGAAGCATAAATCCGCATGAAATAGCGATCACGGTGATATATTTTATGAGAACATATAATTGCATGCAATGATGTTTTCAAATTTAGTTGATGGTAACTGGTCTCCATGGAGTGTTTTCGGACGATGTTCAAAAACGTGTGGAGGAGGGCTGAAGTTCAGAACCCGCAGTTGCGACAGTCCACCACCCAGCAATAGAGGAAAGAATTGTCCAGGACCATCTCAGGAGGCGATGGATTGCAACACACATGCCTGCCCTGGTAACTGCGGAGCAAACTGATTTTTATCATAAACATTTGAATGCATTTTTTTTTAACTTGTCGTTACCTGCGGATGTGTGTTGCGGTGGCCCTCTGTGGTATATTTGTCTAGCATACTGAAAGCAACAACAGTTACACCGTTTCCACCATGCTCTAATCTTTTCTTTTACTTGGATTTTCATATCAATACGGTTTTCTCTTTCTCCTTTTTCCTGTGCCAGTGGACGGTAAATGGTCTCACTGGAGTAGCTTTGGAGGTTGTACAGCAACTTGCGGAGGAGGTTTCAGGTACAGACGTCGGAAATGTGACCATCCTGCACCGGCTAATGGAGGCAAAAAGTGTCCAGGAGCATCTTTCCAATCAATTGGCTGCAATGTACAAGCTTGTCCAGGTTAATTTTTTAAAAGTTTTTAGAATTAAAATTCAAAAAACAGGTAGTAGCATTATTGGTGATGATAATGATGATCATAAAGTTATTAACAGTGTTGATATTGATTACAGAAATAAAAAAATAAGCAACATTTTTTTTAACTTTCAAGACTTCACCAGTTACCATGAATCGCCAGACATATTGAAGTTTGTAAGGCTTGCTATAAACGTACAGCTTTGAACAGTGTATGAGACACTGACCACACAAGGAAAAAGGAATGTATTTAAAAATTTATTGCAAAACTATTTGTTAAACAACGTTTTACCCACCACGACATTGTTTCAGCAGAGAAAATCCTACAGACGTCTGTAATTATGGCCAGTTTCAGATCTTTATTCCTCTGATGATTTGACTCACTTTCGAACCGGTTGACAAGTATCAAGGAAGGAGGATCTTTAGCTAAAACTGAATATTGAACCTTGGAACCTTATTATGAAATAGTAACTGAATTTTTGAATGTAATTGATTATTTGTTTAAACAAATTCGAAGTGATCGATATAACAACACCTTATATAAAGAGTGGAATAAAGGAAAACACTTTGTCTTCTCGATGTTTATAGTTGACGGCCACTGGTCTCCGTGGAGTAGATACGGAAGGTGCAGCAAGTCATGTGGAGGAGGTTCTCAACACAGAACCCGGACGTGCAACGATCCGCCACCAGCAAACGGCGGAGCTCGCTGTAGAGGACCGAGCAAACAAACAAGAAGGTGTAATTCACATCCTTGCAAAGGTTAGTAGCAGCTGGAAGATGGAATGAAGAAGCACAAGCCTCGGAGGCAAAAAGAAAAATCAAAAGGAGGAATCAATCAACGGGATATATGCCATGAAACCCCTAAAGCCCACTTTAAAAGCTTTCACGCTAGTTATTGGTTTTATTTTTACCACAATTTTCTCATTATTAATGCCTAGTCGTGTTCTTTACATCGAAGTAGCAATTGTTAGTGAGTAAGCTTGGAGAGCTGTAGACTTCAAAGGGCAGAAACAGAGAATGTGCGTCAAAATCTATAGACGAAAAGTTGATTCCGTGAAAGCTGCCGTGACACACCGACTTTACTTATAGGTGCGTCATTTTCGTTCTCTTAAAGCGAGTATCATTAACTTTTTCTTCGATCTACTTAGTTGATGGTCACTGGTCTCCTTGGGGTAGGTACAGTAAATGTAGCAGGTCATGTGGGGGAGGCTCTCAACACAGAACCCGGACGTGCAACAATCCGGCACCGGCGAACGGTGGAGCAGGCTGTGGAGGGCCGGGAAAACAAACAAGAAGGTGCAATTCGCGTCCTTGCAAAGGTTGGTAATATGGTGTAACGAGGCCCTGACGTGCGAAAAAACACACACACACAAAATAAACAAAATCAAAACGTAAAATTAGTGAACGGTGGTTCCATAATTGTTGTCCAATTGTGCTCCCTACATTGAGTAAGCGATTTCTAGTGAGTAAGTAGGAAGAGTTGTAGTTTTAAAACGGCGTAAATAGAGAATTCGCTTAAAATCATTCAGGAAAGGTATTTCCGTGACAATCGGACACCGTAACTCTAAGTGTTTCATTTTTGTAGTATTAACGTGAGCATTATTTACTTGTCTTCAATCTGTTTAGTTGATGGCCACTGGTCCCCTTGGGGTAGATATGGTACATGCAGCAAGTCTTGTGGGGGAGGCTATCAATACAGAACTCGCAATTGCAACAATCCGCCTCCAGCAAACGGTGGAGCAGGATGTCGAGGACCGAGCCGAAGGTCACGACGCTGTAACTCACGTTCTTGTAAAGGTAAAGAAAACCTACAAACCCGCCATGCATATCATATATGTGCCCTAAAAACTATTATCAATAGACACCTATAAAATAAATGAATAAATGAAACAATGATGGCAGGGGAAATACTACGTTTAAAGCTAGTCTTAAAGCTTTCATCCAAAATTATTTACATCATCTATATCTCCTCTTTTACTTACTGGTAGGAAATAATTACTTACTCTCCATTGTATGATATGCTTCTGCTGCTGCATAATTTGGGACGATTTGTAGGTTTAGAGGAAGCTGCCCGAAGTAAGCCACTGATTTAATTTAGAAAATTGTTTGGTAGGAGTTTTTGTCCGGTTCTAGATAAGTAAATAATTTCCTCCAGTAAAATATTGCAAAATTTGTCAATTCTATCCTTAATTTGTGTAGTGGACGGTCATTGGTCTCCATGGAGTGGATACGGCAGATGCAGCAAGTCATGTGGAAGAGGATATCAATACAGAACTCGCAAGTGCAACAATCCGCCACCAGCAAACGGTGGTAAAAGGTGTAGAGGATCGAGCAGACGAAAAAGGAGCTGTAATTCACATCCTTGTAAAGGTGAGATTGGCTGATATGATGCGATACAAGAATGACGGCAAAAAGAATACGAAAGACGCAAAGTACGCCGATGTATTTTGTTTCTGATTATTTTCATTAACAGGCAGTGATAGAATGTCTGTTTCGTAACACTACTCAGTAAAGAATGCTAACCTATCTTAACATCGTACACAATGTGTCTTGTATTTAAGAGACTTAATTTTACTTCCTGAAAGAAAGAAGTTTCAGTTTCAATTGAATGATTGTTTGTTTGTTTTTTTTATTATTCATGAGGCACAACCTCTTAGGCTCCACTGATCTCGCATGTGAAAAGCATATCTCGCATTCTTTTCATTCTATCTCCTGTATTTGCAGTTGAGGGCGGTTGGTCTAACTGGGGTCCATACAGCAAATGTAGTCGCACGTGTGGGTCGGGAGGCACGCAAACAAGATATCGCACGTGCTCCAGCCCGCATGCTTATTATGCATACGGTGGCTCTTCATGTCGAGGATACTCCAAACAAACTAGGAAATGTGGGGGTAACATTCCTTGCCGAAAAGGTGATACTAGTTTTGTCACTGCTCATTAATCGATGAATGATTCAAGGGAGAAGTAATTATCAATGGCTTAGAGAATGACCAAGAGTTTTCCCAAACGTTTTGGGGCCTTGCATGCTTATGTCTTTATTTTTTTGTATCAAAAGGAAAGACGACTAAAAATTTTCCCTTACTACAAGGGACAGCTGTCTATGGAAGCTACCTGTAAAACATGTTCGAGAAAGATGTTTATAAGTCTGTCTTCTCGGCCTTTAAACTATCGTGTTCGCCTAAACATTTAACAGATAAATTGTTTAAGGATTTAGGTTATTGTAGTTTCTACAGTTGCTGGAGTTGCTCTGTTATTCTATTTCAAGCCGTATATGTAATTGTTTCTCACTTAAGTGTTCCTTTTTCTCACTGAACAGTTTGCAGAAATACACAAAGTCACGGCTATTGTAGATGGGTCGTGATGAGCTACAGATGTGGTCGGTACTACAAATATTGTAGAAAATCCTGTGGTGCATGTAAGTATTAACTTTTGAAAATAATTATTACCAAAATCAATGTCTTTGAAATCGTTTTATATGGCAAACTGCTATGTCTCAGATGATGATCGGTCATTTTTAATTTCTAAAACATTTTTGACATGAAGTACCAAATATAACAATATGAAGGGTACAACATTATTATTCTCGTGGCCTTTTTTAAAGGATCATTCGAGGATGTGGTCGATGAATAGTCATAAAAGAAAATCGTTCTCCTTTTTTTTTTCCCTTTAGCTAAACTACACCATGACATCATACACAAATTTTGCCTTCACACAGTAAACGAAGACCGCTAATTCACTCAAAACTATGCCAAAACATTTCTACGGAATCAAAGATTACATATTCAAAGAGATCTGCATATAACTTTGCAGGGGACCAATCTATCTCCATTCATTCTATTCACATACATGTCTTTATAGCAGAAACTGCTTAATGTCTCGCAGGTCGCCACCATTAATGCAGAGAAAACAACTCTTTACTAGCGTGGTCTGTGTTTCAAGGTAATTATTTTTTTCCGATTGATATATATATATTTATTTTAGAAAATTTAAAAAATGATACAAGCAGGATAGCTTGCATCTCCCGTTTGAAGAGAAGGATCCACTTAACCTTTTTTGAATGTATTGTTCAATTACTGCAATTGATCAACATATTTCACTGATGTGTTAGCATCTGAGCACTGTGGTGCGTAGTTTGATTTCTGACCCTTTCCAGGAAACTTACCTTAATTTGTTTGATTAACTTGCAGCAAGAAGTGCAAAGGAATTTATGAATGCTTCGCCGAGGGGCTAGAAGGAGGAAGCTTATGCCAATTTCTTGCTGATTTCATTATCATTGTCATAAAAGTTTGATTAAAAAGTGTGTACATATGTCATGTCTTTCCTTACTTTTTTTTAAATTTGTTCTCTTATAAATAGATGTTTCAAGCCCCTTTTGCATAGGGTGCATTTCTTCTTAGTTAATTATCTATGGGGTGACTAACCTCAGCGAGATAATCAATGAATTAGCTTAAAAAGAATTTATGGTCTATATTGATACGATTCGTCACATCAACCCACCTGTGTAGAATCACTTCTCTCTCTTCGTGATCATTCTAGAAAAGCGGAGACAACTCTCCCAAACAAGGAAGGCACACTTGTAACAACGTTGCAGATCTTTTATTATGAAAATTAACAGAAAAATAGAGACCTTCCTCGATTATTAATTTAACCTGGTGAAAAAATATATAATTTGGAGTCCTTTTCAAGACGTCTTCTTTATTTCTGATGCGCCTTTTTTGAAACTTTGATCGTCGAATCTCTCTTTCCTGCAAAGATAATCGAAACACAGAGTTCTGTTACTGTACTTGGAAAACGTATGTGCGATTTTATCTTTCGTCCGCGAATGTTAATTTAAAGACCAAAAATTGGATATGGCAATGGTAATATATTAATTTTGTTTCAAGCCAAGACAACAGCTACAAGGATGAAATGAGGAGAAGCAAAATAAATTTTAAAAAAAACCGAGCAAACGAACAACAACAGGCAGAAAAAAAAACCAACTACACTAACGCATAAAAAGAAAACAAACCAAAGAATAGGAAATTGCATGTAGATAAATATCTTGGTTAAAAATCATTATATGTAATGAGGGATTGTTTACAAGCGCTGAATTTCAAACTGAGGCTGAAACGAAATTGAATGTAGTAATTTTTCACACGTTTCGAGCTCCAAAAAATCTTTTCTTCGTTCCAATGTATAATATGCATTTGGTGTTATTGTCGCTGCTGTTTTAATGGCCTATTACTTGAATAACAGAAATGTGATAGCCTGACCTCTACAAAATCTGCACATCCCCAATGACTTAGAGAAAATTATATTACGACTCATGTCTTTTGATTAATATGTAGACCTCCAAGGCTAATTAAAGTTTTTTCCTCAGGCTCGGTACAAGCCTCCAATTTTCTAAGCGCGATGGTCAATTTTAGCCTTCAAATTAATGAAACTGCATTCAGAAAGATGCAGTTATTTAAACCTTTATAATGAAGATTCTCACCGCAAAATTTGCAGGTTTTGGGACAAGATTCAATCATCATTTCTTGGAATCTAGGACTCTCACAGCCACCCAGTATGCTACGACCTATGCACTTGTAAGGGCTCATCTTGTCAACACAGTCCTCTGAAGAGAAACAGAAACATATTTGTTTAATGATAATGATGCTGATAATGACAACAATTATAAAGATATTGTTGATGATGATGATGACATTGATATCAATACAGTGACAATGAAAATGCTCATGGTGACAGTAACGTTATTATAACGATAACAGAAGCAATATCTACGATGATCGTCACTCTTAAATAGAAAATGAAGGGATCTAAATGCAAGAAATGAGATGAATCCAACGTCGAGTACGTAAACTCGTCCCGTTTTTATTTTTTGTTTTGTTTTGTTTAGGAACATACCTTTTTCCTCATTTCTGTAGTCTAGCCAAGTAAAAAATGCGTGACACGCCACTATGAATAGACTCACTCACCATGGCATCTATACAACGTGTTGATTTCTTCTCTGTCATAATAACTCAGGCCCAGTCGCTGACCAATTGAAGCCTCTCCATCTGCAGGTATAATGGTTGGGACATCCAAGTCCTTGGAGAAGGCAAACCTACTGTAATGCATCACACTGTCGTAGTCATATGGTTTGCCAAAACTAGATCCCAGATCTCGTGGGTATTTTTGGAAATTTCGAGAATGCTCTGTAAATGGAATATAAAAGACACGCTTTGATATCCAACAATTTAAAACAAATTCTAAGCAGTTATTGAGTGTGCCACAGCCGGCACTTGACTTCAACTTCACAACGGACCAACCAGACTCGGAGTTGACATTGATTAGTATCTTCTCTCACAACATTTTAAATTTTGGTAGTCGATAATTTGATGCTTTGAATGAGTTTAGAGCAAACTACAACAGCCTTCCAGTCCCTTGATGATGATTGATATGACTCTTTATACATGTAACCCTCCCCGTTTCAAATATAAAATGCATCACCCATATCACTACCTTCCTCGATATTAGTCCAATCAATTTTGATGTACTTGTCCCTGTCAGGCCTAGTGTGCTCATGGAAGAAACCCAAAGCATGCATGATCTCGTGCACCACTGTTCCAATCCTCTCGCATCCGTCACCGATAGAAATCGTTTGTTCGACGTCAGTGGGATCTCTGCCGACTCGGGAATAACATCTTACAAAGAGAGAAAAATATTACTCAATTATGTCCGTAATCTGTTACCATCAACAGCACGCTATGGTTGAATTAAAGCACGATATACTAGATTGTAAAACGTTGACAACTGGAAATACCATGAACGATGAGACAAAAAGGCCCTCTAGGTATACATGCACATGATAACTTCAATTGTAAGTAGTGAATAAAGGAAGCTATCCAGTCACGTTTCCTGAAGGAAAAGATTGATGGTATCGAAGATCCGACAGAAGAGAAGAGAGAATAGAAGAGAGAATATGATGTTCATGCTATTTTCAATTGACAGATGACTTACCCGTTTCCACTGAAGAATCTGACATAGCTTTTATGACGCGTGTTATTTTTTGGAATATGAACAAATTTTATGCATGTTCTTTCCTTTAGATGATGGATACCTCGCTTGATGATATCGATCTTGAGAGGCTCTGAGGCCGAGGAAAAAGTTGAACAATACATTAACTTTTTGTTAAAATCTTCTGTTTATTTATTTATTTATTTATTCAAGAATCTTTCTCCTGACTTGAACGACAATAACAACAAGCAAAAGCAGTAACATACATCGTCTTCATCAACAACAGCATTATGACCAACAACAAAAGCAACAACAACAAAAATAACGGTGGTACGAACTGCAACAAAAAGTCACTCAGTAGTTTAATGGTATGCGGCAATATCTGGTTTTAGATAATCTTGAAAATTGGATTATGATAAAACAACAACAGCAGCAGTAGCAGCTACAGGAACAACAATAACAACAACAAAGTAAGGGGAAATCTCAATGTTAGAAACCAGCTATGATCATTGGATCTCTATTTAAAAAAGAGAGAACATATTAACTAACCTAATTTTTCGTCAAACATGTAGTAGATCACCCCTTTTGGCCAGTATAATATAGGAGAGACCACAGCATCACGTGACATGATCTCTCCACCTGTCAGATATCTTTCGGTATCCTCATCGATGACGATATCGCCTTCAAACAGACCTAGAAATTTTGAAAACGTTGTATTTACTCCACATATTATTTTCTGAAGAATAGTCCTCCAAGCTATGCTCAACGTCTTTCAGATAATTTTGTAGTGTGTTTAGCTCAGTCAAATAATTAAGATTTAAAGATCCCCGTATGCAGTCGTGTAAAATATACGATAAAATCTTAGAATAGCTACTTTAACTTGCGACAGAAAGAGTAAATGTGATCCCAAAATAAAAATGTTAATGTAATAAGCTGAGTTACGCACGTATTTTGATAAGTTCTTTTTTATGAGCTATTGGAGGACTGACGCATAGATGACGTCACAATCAACATATTTTATTTGCTTCTTTATTATATAAAACAAAGAGATTCCATCGAATCGCAAAAGACGTCAAATCTGGCGGGAACATCAGTGACACACTCGGCTGCGCTTCACTCGACACATTTTTGTTTCACCATATTTGTCATCCTCTTTGATCTATTACTGAAGAGATGCACGGTGGCATGGAATCTGTTTCTCAATTTTCTCTCAAAAGAAGGAGAGAAACAACGATATTCTAATCTCCACACATGTAGATACACTAATGATACAAAATTACGTTCAATGCGCGCGGTAAAGATGGCATGTCTAAAAAAACAGAGGAACTTCAGCTATTTTATCAATATCAATACAATGATTTCAGTTATCCGTTTGTCGGAAATAAGCAGGTTTAGAAAAACCAGGGCCCGTGAATTATCGGTTTATGACTTTCAAAATAAACGCCAGCCCCATCATCGGAAACCCAGCTATAGTCTACGTCCTTGTAGGTTTCCGGCTGGCATTTCCAATAAGAAATTGGAGCTTTCCTCGAATAGCTGTAAGCTATGGCGGCATTTCATTTTAACCAGTAACGATCACGCAAGATGATTATGTTTGCCCTTAGTTAACGTGAATATAAATTTTCGCAAGCTATGCGTTTGTGAAATATGGTGCGGAATTTCTCTGGGTGGGTTACATTAGACAAAAACATCTCAACAATAGCTTGAATCTTCCAGTTACAGTGATATTACATGAATTTACATACACACAGAAATATAATTGGATGCCCTGCGTCGTCAGCGGTTATTGATTGCTTAAAATCTGTGAAGTTTTTTTCTTCTTCACTATTTCAATAATTTTATCGTTTTTACCACGCATACGAAAGAAAAATCATAAGTTTATTTTTCCCAGCTGAAGATGAAATAAGATTTTTTTCATATTTCTAAGTGGAATGTGTGTGCACTTGGATCTCTGCCTCTAAAACACTTAATCTAATTTGTGCTAATTTAGATTATTTTTGCTATACTTTTCTAATGGACTTCAGTCCCCAATAACCCCATTTCAGACTTTTCATCTAGAATTTACAAAAAAATGGCTGAAACGAGGTTCAACCAATGCACAGGGATAAAAAGGCCTCTAATTAGTGTTTTCCCTACACATCAAGGTAGGAAGTCAGGAAAAATTTGGAGCTTGGCGTTCATTTTCTTTGTCCTTCTTTTCCAGATTCGTGTATTTAAGTGCGGCCGCCTCTTTTTTTTTTTAGCACAAACCAGTATCAGAGAGCCGTGTGATGCAGTTACACTCCAACTGCTCATTTTCCTTCACTGTATATACACACGATTCATTTTCCTCCTTTAGCTCTAATTTCTTCAAGAAGAACTTTTTTCCTTGATTAAATAATCGAATACGGATGGTCCATTCAAAAGAAATTAATGAAGACAATTTAAAATGGCTGGGGAAGATCTACTCTTAACCAATATCACTCCGTCTCACCTGAATTCTCCTCTGCCCACGGGATGCTAGCATCAATATCAACTGTGAACAAAGAACGGGCAATAAATGTTAATAAAGCGACTGTTAAACAGAAAAAAAGTCGGCATGGATCTTCGACTGTTAACTCGAATATTCTAACAAGAATGAAGCATACAAGAGCACTAGCTCCCAAAGGAAAATTGTTTTAACAGTCAAATGTTACAGTTTCATAGATGGACTTTTATCGTGAAGTGGTCTGGTTACCTTTAGTCTACTGAGTTTGAGCCTCTTAACAGCGTCATAAATGACATTTCCTATATATAGCATGAAAACTTCCCGAAAAGTCAATGTCGAGGAGACTCGGGTCGTTTTCGTGACTGAGAAGTGTCGAATAATACTTTTAGCAACAGTTGAAAAATGCGCAAAACCTGGTGTAAACTAAATATTGAGGAAAATGGCTCCGAAAGAGCTTTCTATGCATTAGCGTGATAGCTGGTGTTGCAAAACGAGTTAAAGATAAAAATCTAAATATGAACAAAGTTAGATGATTATAGATTAAGATTGCAGAGGCTTCTTAAGTTTACAGTGTTTCACTGTTACCATACTTTATTCCCCAGCTGTAGTGTATATTGAAAGAGGGGACTCAGGTTGACATAAGAATATCGATGGATTAATCTCTGAGTCGAGTTGTAAAGGAATTCGTGTTGGCCTCAAAAGACAATTATTAGTTACAAGTGGATTCATCTCCCTCGAATTTTTTGGATGACTCGGAAATATCTGAAATGTGTTTTTGAGGGAGTGCTTTGTGTTCAAAGAGCTACCATCTTTATCAGCGATGAAATCACCAATGACCTTTAGGAGCTGTAGCCTGTTAGTATGGGTTGTGGACGGTGTGCAGTTCGATCTCTGACTTCAACATATCGAATTTCTGCTTGGTGTAAGCTTTGGTGTCGAATAGCACTTTATTAATAAGATTCAGAGACAAAAGCCCTTAATTAAACACACGTTCACAGCCCTCCTCATCACGTCACCCCTCAGAATTGACATTTTCCTCGTGCAATCGCTATGTTATGAAACAATTTTTACGAAGTCAAAACAGCGTTACGATTGGTGTCATATACATAGCTATAGTGACATTTAAACGCTAACTATAAATATTTTTCTTTATAAAATAATTCAAATAGTACGCGCGCTCTGTTTGACCATAAAACCATTTTACATGCGCGTATGTAAACACGGTTTTCATACTGAATCTTCTCACCGAGTTCTCCCAGCTATTTATTTAGCAGTAACTCGGTTTCTTTAAGTTTGTTTTGAGTACAGTAATGGAAGAAGAAGATTTTCCTAATTTTTCTTTGGAGTTTAATTTTCCCAGTATTCAAGAAACGGCCGAAAAGCCAAATGAACGACAGCAACAAGCACATCGCTTTCCTTCGTTGCAAGAAGAGGCTCTTTCATTAGTTATTTTATAAAAGAAATGTAAAATGGTTTCCGTGTTTACATAGCTTGATGTAAACACTTGGGAGGTTGGGAGAACACTCGATAAGCTGGAAGCCACTCTGCTTCGCGTCGTGGTTTCCTACGCTTATCTCGTGTTCTCCCAACCTCCCGCGTGTTTACATCAGGCTATGTAAACACGGAAACCATTTTACATTTCTTCAGTATGTCACAAAAGAAATATATTTTCAATTTGAGCTGAATTATCCTTTTTAAGGTTTATGCTGGGATCAATTTGAATATATAAAATTTCCTTTGACGTCAAAAGCTGGGAAGAGATATGAATCGTGCTTACAACCGGAAATTTTTACACAGCTGGCACTAGTGTTATTAAACAATAGCCGATCTACGTCATTTGTTTTCAAATTTCCGAATTTCAAATACCAAGAGGGAAAATCAATTATTTAATCATCGATAAAACGATGCCATTGCGAGACCAATTAATGTTGAGAAAATAATAATAATTGTTGAGAAGATACTGGCAATGAAAATAAAAACGAGAATGAAGGTTTTTTGCACGGGAAAGGGTTGGTAATAGCGAGTACATTATGGCGTTGGTAAGTAATTAAAATCATGTTAAACTGGGTTCCTTCGCAATATTGCTTCTTTACTTTGGTCAAAAGATAAGGCATAATTATTTGAAAATTACTGATCGAAGCCTTCCTACCCAGACAGCGTATCTTGATTTGTTTTTATTAGAAATCAAAACATTCACATTTACGTCGAGAGATCTAAGAATTGTTAAGAAATCGCTGTCTGATCTAATATTCTACAAAAGCTAATAAGTATATGTGGAAGAATTTTTACATTTGAACCGAAAATGAAAGAATAAGTGCCGCAGAACTTTCAAAACTGTTTTGCTTACCGTAATCTTGTACTAAGTAATCCCCATAATCCGTTACTCTGCGCGATTCACAGCGAACAAAAGACAGACAGAGCAGAAGAACAAGAAAGTTCTTCCTCATCCTAACAATCGAACGTGAAGCGACTTTTGGAAGCAAATATCGCTTTTGCATATTGCTTTGACAACTAATATATATTGTGGGCCCTGCATTCGGTTGATTTCAAGCGCTGGGTGGCTCTTTTGAATCAGCTGGGTAATTATAACATCAAAAATAACATGACCCTTCAAATGAACACGTAGCCAAAGCATTGCTGTATTTTTTTCTTTTAATAACATTTAAGTCGAGACTCACAAACAATGAAATGCTATTGGTTCTTTCGTCATTTTTGCAGCTAAGTTGAAAATCAATTTTTTTCGGCATTAAAGCCTTGTAAAAGAACGATGTTCTGTGGCATTTTGTATTGTAAGGCAGTATTTCGGTTTAAATTCCTCCAAATCTTTTAAGCTGTGCCTTTTTATTTCTCATCCTGAAATATGCTGGTGAACAGCTCAAGTTATTTCAAGGACTTTTTACGTCATAAATAGTCATAAAGTTCCACAATGCTCATGAGATCAAAAAATAACAAAAGCTTCATTTTAGGCGTTAACTTATTTATAATCAAATCTGTGTGAAGATCCTTGTGGAACCACAGTTTCTCACGACATACGTAGAGTTCCAAATCTCATCACTCAGTCATAGCAACAGAATTTTATGACGATCGAAACTTTCCGCCGAAAGCAACCAATCCTGAACAGTGTAGTGGTTATACTGTCACAATAAATTCCGGTTGATGATTTATGGTGGCCAGTCGATGGAACACAGTGATATTAACATTTGCTAACCAGGCAAAGTTAAATGAAGTAAAGTATAACAGTTTGAATATGCCCAAAAGGTTGAAAACCTTCACTGTTGAGAGAGGGAATGGGACTGCTTCTCATCTGCTCAACAATACTGATCCAATGTGATAGGAATATCAGAGGCTCAGCATGTCGCAAAAGCTCTTGTGTATCGGCGCCTCGCATTTTTTGTTAGTTTACCTTGACGACCTTGACGTCTTCTATTAGACATTCGCATAGACAAACACCCATATGGAGTGTGAGTGTTTTAATGTAATTTTTTTTCGGTTACAGAACAGAAGATGTTTTTTTCTTCTCCAAGCTATTGAGCTCTCACAAAGGCTTGCGCGAAAATTTAGCGATTTCTGTTCCTCCCCTCCTTTTCTACACTTCCGTGACTTGACCTGTAAAAGCCATTTGCTCAATATTGTATTTTATGTCTCCTTCGCTAGATGAAAATTTTTATATATTTGAAATTATACCTTTGTCGACAATTTGGTCGGTTTTTAAGTCAATAGTCGGAATTTGTTTGCAAGAGTACAATGCTCATGATTGAAACCAAAAAGTTTGCATGTGTCGTTATGAAAATTGGTCCCCCATTTATTAGTGGTCGAGAAACTAAGTCTCGTGTGATTAAATACTAAAAAAATTTCATTTTTTATGATCTGGTAATGGTAAGGGCACGATGATAAAGGCATGAAGTGCGCATAATACAAAACACATAAACGAAAGAGGAGCTGGAGGGAGGAAGTGGTTTGAATTTGCTACGCGTCTCAGGTCTGAACACAAATAGGACAAACTCGAGGTAATGTCTCGTCTTAACCTGATCGCTGAAGGCTTGGTAACTTTCCAACAAAACTCACGACTCTTACGCAAATAACCGTCTATTGCTATGAAATTCACCAGATAGTATTGTGATTAATGCTCATTCAAGTCGCTCATTCAAGTCGTTCACTCAATTCCATATGGCCCAGTCTTCCTTTAGTTTGACCCTTCAGTACTACATGCTTTTCTTCATTGACTTAGCAGCTCAGTAAAAAATTAACAATGTACCAAATATGGGATACATAAACTTTTTTATTTGGAGGCAAATAAGTTTATTTTGGATTATTTTTACACTGTATATTTGCCTTGGAATCTGTTGTGTATTAGGGTTCGTTATATACTACTTTATAATAAAGTTCGGATATAACGCGCGCTGTCATTGGTTGAAAGAGCGTGCTCTATGAGAGTATAGAGCATAGAGCTGAGCTAAAGCTGTCACGCCATCTGCCAAATTGTACTATGTTTGACCTTTACCGGGACTTCTTTTCAGCTTTTTCCGATAATTGAAAGTGAAATTTCGAAACAAGCGAGCCGGCAAATAGCAACAGAAGAACCAAATAAAGGTTTGTCAACTTACCAGGCGTCGTAATTTACGTTATTGAAACGTGAGCAGATACGAAAATCCTCAAAGGAAAAACAAAATAGACATTCCGAGTATTAAGATTTTCACGTTCAGTTAGATTGCAAGCTTACGTACGGAGATAAAAATTAAAAACACAGCTAACACTCGTATATTATATAAAGTTCAGTGTTCAAATACAAAACTGAACAAAACAGAAATGATGAAAAATATAACCAAACTGGCATAACTGCTAAAATTCATTCTAATCATGACGGTGTCTGCGCGAATATGATAATGCTGAAGTCCATCGCGGCTCGCTTATCATGGCGATCTCTGGTTATCACAGTCAAGCAAGCCTCAGAAACTACATCGGCCGCCCTTCAAGTAAAAAAATAAGAGCTTGCTCTGATATCCTTTCCGATGCGTTGAATGGAAAGTCACATCAGTCACTGCAGCCGAGTTTTGCCGTGCTGTCATCCCGAGCGATCTTCATGTTCCGGTGAATTCGGCTGTCGTTCATTCAAAATACACTCGCCTTGAACAGTTTGTTTTCTACCTTATCATTTGAAAAAACTCGCGTGTTTTTATGAGCCATAATTCGGCTGAAGTTCACTGAACATTTCACTTCAAGATTCTGTAGTAGAGACTTAAAAACTTCAGGCAAAAGTGTTAAATTCGACCTGCCGAACTATTTTAGTTTGAAAACTATCGCAGAATGTGAACTTTGATGGTTTTTGAACTTTGATGGTTTGACACTATTGACAGCTTTAGTCTTGTACAGCCAATCAGATTATTTGAACCATTCTAACAGGGATTCTGATTGGCTTATTGAAGCGTGCTTTATGAGAGTATAGAGCATGCTCAAGAAGTGGGGAGAAACACTCGACTACGTCTCGTGTTTCTCCCTACACTTCTCTCGTGCTCTAGCCGCTTCCTGCGTGCTTTATAATAGAACAGAGCACAGTCATGGCTTCTCTATTTGTTAAATAGAGTAAAGCGTGCATAGACCAAGTGCTCTACACAACTGCCTTATTAGAATGCCCTGAAGTTAATTACGCACAATGACATATGAGCATAATCACCTGACTGCGGTCAAATGTGTGCTAACCAATAGAATAAAGATTATGTAATAGCTAAGGTACTTATCCAAATAGGAACAAACACTACAGAATCCTTGCTCATGGAGGATATCAGGGAGATTATTATAGAACCCCTAAAGCATGAGGGTACTTAGCCCATCTATTTCGACAAGCATTCTACCGCAGCTTTTGTTTGAAAGAATATGGACCTACAGTATGCGACATTAGTATGCACTCTAGAGATTGCAAATGTAAATTGCATCCAAGTGTTCCTCTATATGCGTCATGACAACCAGTAGAAAAAATTGTTATAATATTGTAATTTTCACGCCCTGTGTTGAATTTCATTTGCACGTGCTGCTAGACTCATTATATATTCAGTTTTCGTTTGTGCCTTGAAGGCACTTGATAGAGATTAAATGTCTGTTCAGTAACCGCTTGATCGTGCGGATCGCTGTGTTATTACATGGTGGCAGCGGTGGCCGCTTCTGCTTCGTTTTAACCGCCTACGTTATGCAGCATGCCCAGTGGTGATACCTCCAATGGACAGTCTGGTGCGGTAGCGCCGCCATCGTCGACCTTTCATCAGATTACTCCGCCGAAGTACCTTGACTTGAAACATAGTGGAGAAATTGCCGAAAACTGGAAGCTTTGGAAGGAGAAATATAACAATTATTTTGGCATTTCTCGTTTGGATCGGGAAACCCCGGATTTTCAGTTGGCGATGTTCAAACATACAATCGGAGATGATGCGTTGAAAGTCATCAAAACATTCAACTACGCCAAGGGGGAAAACTCGAGTGATTGTCGCGTTGTAATGGAAAAAATGGAGAAGCATTGCATCGGCGAAGTCAACGAAATTTACGAACGATACTGTTTTAATATGCGAGACAAGCATATAATTTTTGCTATTGTTTGCGGGATAGTTTAATCCGTGATCGCATTGTGCTTGGAATTAAAAACGAGAAGACGAGCAAGAAGTTACTGAGAATGAGAGATCTTACTCTGAATCGTTGCATCGACGTGTGTCGCAGCGAGGAAGTTGCTGAGTTGCAAATGAAGTCGTTATCTGGGCCGGTGGATAACATTAATCAAGTAAAGTCAAGTTCTAAAAAGCAGCGAGCTCCAACGCCGGTGGACGGGCGGTCGGCAAAGAAAATTTCCTGCAAATTTTGTGGCTATGACCATCAACCTGATAGGAAGATGTGCCCCGCATGGGGAAAGAAGTGCAAGCGATGCAAGGAAAAGAATCATTTTGCCAAGAAGTATAAGAAAGTTCCTGTCCATAATATTGAGAGCGAAGAGGAGTTAGAGGAGATCAGCATTGTACGAGTACGGGCTTTGAGAGGGAGAGCTGTGTATGCGAGGATGCTGGTTAGGCAGCAACCGGTGCAATTTCAAGTTGATTGTGGTGCAAGTGCAAATATTTTACCTCTGAGGTATGCTGAGGGTGAGGAACTCGACTCGTGTTCGCAAACGCTTGTCATGTGGAATGGAACTAAAGTGACGCCTGTCGGTTCCTGTGCGTTGCCTGTTGTGAATCCGAAAACTAATGAGAAGTACAAGGTCCGGTTTCTGGTCGTGAAAGAGGATTTGACCCCTCTGCTTGGCTTAAATTCAACGCAGAAAATGAAGCTGTTAACTGTACACAAGGAAAACTTCATTAATGTCGTGGAGAATGCAAATGATGATCTCACAGCTAATTACGCGGATGTCTTTAACAAAGGTCTCGGAACACTTCCAGGAAAAGTTCGCCTGCAAGTTGACCTAGACTGCAAGCCTGTTATCCTTCCAGCAAGAAAAGTCCCTGTGTTTGTTCGGGAGAAGTTCAAAGAAGAGCTCCAAAGGTTGGAACGTCTTAAAGTAATCACTCCTGTTGATGAACCGACCAAGTGGGTTAGTCAGATTGTTGTAGCTGTAAAGAAGTCCGGCGAACTGCGTGTTTGTATTGACCCGAGACCACTTAACACTGTCTTGAAGAGGGAGCGTCATCAAATTCCCGTCATTGATGATTTGTTGCCCGACTTGACAGATGCACGTGTGTTTACAAAGGTTGATTTAGCTTCTGCCTTTTGGCATCTGGAGTTAGATCGCGAGTCTAGTATGCTCACGACATTTGCTACGCCATATGGGCGATATCGTTGGCTCCGTTTGCCGTTTGGTCTCAGTGTTTCGAGTGAAATTTTTCAGAAACGTCTCCATCAAGAGTTACAAGGCCTCCCGGGTGTAAAGTGTATTGCAGATGATATTCTCATCCATGGCACGTGCGAGGCTGATCATGACAGCAATCTAGATGGATTCATGCGCAGAAAGGTATCAAGCTCAATGCCGAGAAGTTAGACGTTAGACGAGAACGTGACACATACCAAGCTTCATCGCCGCCAGCAGCAACAAGCCAAGTACTACAACACAGGCGCACGAGACCTCCAGCCCTTAGAGCCCGAGGAGATACTGTGCGAGTTGAGCCCTGGCGCGCGGGAAGAAAAGAGTGGCAAAAGGGTGTCGTAAAGAATCGCATTGACAAAAGATCTTACGAGGTTGAGTTGCCTCAAGGACTCCTTCGACGAAATCGTGTTGAGCTACGCAAGTCTAATGAAGCGCCTATCAAAGTTGAAGATGACGACGTCAGAGAGGCGCGCAAGCAGTCATCCACAGAGACACGCGAAGATACACGCGAACAGGTACCTCCAGATACACGCGTGGAAACATTCGACCAGCCGCGCGATCCGTTGTCTTCGGTGCCAGATGCACCTAAGTCGCCCAGTCCTTTACAGGCACCGAGAAGGTCCACGCGCGTCCGTCAGCCGCCCAAGCGCCTACAGGACTATGTGCTTACTTAAGCCTAGGAACTCTTTCCAAGGAACTGAATTTCATTAATATGTGCTTAGTCGTTTGTTTGTTTGTTTGTTTGTTTTTTTTCCGTTAAGTTGTTTTCTTATTTCTCTATAAAAGGGAGGGTGTTATAATATTGTAATTTTCACGCCCTGTGTTGAATTTCATTTGCACGTGAGGCTAGACTCATTATATGTTCAGTTTTCGTTTGTACCTTGAAGGCACTTGATAGAGATTAAATGTCTGTTCAGTAACCGCTTGAACGTGCGAATCGCTGTGTTATTACAAAAATGACAATTACTAATTCAAAAATGACAAAAATAAAACGACAAAATAATTAACTAAAATATCATGGGGGAAAAATAGGCAGGAAATAAGACGAAAAACAAACAAAACAAAAGCAGAAACGGATAAAACAAGTTTTAATATCACAGGTTCAAGCGAAAAATTAGCGTAAGTACATGCAATGAAAAGTGCTCATTCCTTTGGTCGGTTTCCATCTCAAGGCTGCATGGGTTCTGCAGTCAACAGGAGAACTTCCCCTGTCGACGCGGTGAGTTCATCACCACTAAGTAAATGAACATTCATCGAGGCAATAAATTTGTTAAACATGCCATCCACTTCCGTTATTCTACAAGCTCTCTCGCCATGAATACGCCCGAGATACACCGGCTGAGACCCATACTTGTCGCTCACTCTAACTGCATTAACTGGAACAGGGTTTCCGGTCTCTGCCCTAACCCACTCATACCTTGTGGCCGAAAGAAAACTTATGCTGGGATGTCCAAATTGTATAAAACTCACCATATCGGGGTAAACACATAATTTCCCCTTTTCTTGCCACACTTTACAAACCAGAACACGATGTCGCTCTGGGTCCAACAAATCAGCTTGCCAGGTTGCTCTTCCGAGATAAACAGGGATGTTGTTGCTTCTTCGCTCGACCTCTACCAAATTTTTACTGGAAAGTGAACTACCATCGTCTTGCAATTGGACCCAGCAGGGCTTGGGATTAGATGGGTGCACGCTAATTCCCCCTCGGTCGCCTTTGATCGTAACACAGCCATAACGTTCAGGATCCACGGCCATATCTATGAACCACATTTTGTCCCCGTCGTGTACTGAGACATACATTAAATGACCATCATTTTCAGCAGGAAATGGCATGGTCTCACCAAACGGAAAATGGTTGAAACCTCCATGGATCAAACTGTTGTGAATTCGCCGCTCCTTCTCTTTCTCGTCTTTATGATGGTTGTTTAACTTCCCTGTAGCCTGAGCAGCGGCAACCATTCCTTTAGCCTCTAGGCCAAACGATACCTCGTCCATAATACGAGTAAATTCCTTAGTTTCCCTTATTTTGTCGCCTCGGACCCGTACAAATATCTCTTTGACACCTTTGACTCGGTTGGTCGCATATATGTGCGGTGCCTTGGGTTTAAGCGCTGCGGAGAGAAATTATAGTATATTATAATAAATTTTATTAAAATTACGATAAGTCTCGCTGACTTTGCCTGTGCTAGAGGCCTTTCCAAGACACCTATCGCTCTTCTCCTTATCTGGCGGTCTTTTAAAGACTTTTTTTTTTTGGAAGGGGAGGGGAGCAAATTAAACTTAACTGCTTTCTCTGACCAAAGAGCGAAAAACCAAAATGTTAAAAAAAGTTTGACCAGATTTCGTTGACAGTAACCTTTACTAAATTTGGCATTTGGCTCAGCATGATGAATATACATGTTGTCAAAGTGAAAAGTAACAAACAAATACCTGGCTTACTCTCTCCTGCGCCCATGGTTGAATACGATGTAACTTGCACCTCTCCAAGTATCACGAATCTATCAAAATATAACAGGGAAGTAAGCCAATTAGAGCTGGTCTTGTCAACAAGGCCATTCTTCTATACAAAACGATGTGTACACAACACATGGCAAAACTTGCAGACTTCAGTTTTCCGCTCCCTGTTCATTTTCGTTGATCATTTGATCATGGTCCAAACCTTAAAGCCAGGGGCCTACGCTATACTTCACAAAGAATGAGTACTGGAGCACTGAGATTGGAAAATGAAGACTTGAAATGTGGAATTGGGGAATGGAAAATGAAGGATGATTAATGAACAATGGAATCCAGAGAATAAAAAATGAGAAGAATAAACAATGTTGAGAGGAGAATGAAACTTAACGAAAAAATTATGAAGTTTAAAAGGGAAAGAGAGATTTAGAATTCGAAATTAACGCACAGACAATAAAGAATACAATTATATAGAATAAACATTACAAAAAAAATTAATTGAGAATGGAACACGCCGTGAAAACGGTGAAATATTACAGAAAGGAGGAATAAATAAAGACTTGAATAAAGAATGGAAAAGGGAGGAAGGGGAATGTAGAATTGTGAATAGGGAAAAGAGAATCATGAATGGAGAATGGTAAACAAAGAACGGAGGGAAGAGAATGGAGAGCGGAAAAGGAAGAATGGACAATACAAGATGAAGACTGAAGAATGGAGAATGAAGAATTGTATGGAACATAATTACGGACTCGGTAGGTGCTTATTTACTTTTTCGTTTTCTTTGCATGGATGGTTTCTCGTTCAGCACGCGTACCTTTTCGCATGAGTGTCGAATTACACATTCTGAGCATGTTCTATGACGCACTGCTTGAAAGAAATGCCAAACAAAAGTTATCATGCCTGCCTTTTCTTCTGCTTATTAAATATGCGCATATCTAGAAATTAGTGACATGCTTAGCGTGCCGTGTCACATGGTCAAATGGCGTAATAGTAGTAGAATAATCCTTGGTATCGGTTGTATTTCAACCTTATCAATCGGTATCGATAACCTGTTCTGTGTCTTATTTCGACCATATCACAAAAAAAAAAACATCGAGCAGTTCTTATTCCTATTTTGATCATAATCATCATGCTAGATTCACATCCAGTTCTCGGCTGATTTAAGGACATTTACGATCATGTGTCGAGCATCTGTCGGTCGAGTGACGGTCTGTGCTACTGACCGACATGTCCACCGACAGCAAAACCGGCATCGGTCGCCTCTCGACCGACACGCATGTCGGACGATACTCTGTCGACACGCGGCCGATACTTAACCGACATTCGGCCGAAAATTGGCCGATACTTTACCGACACTTTTACTGAGTTCTATCTTATTTAATCAAATATGAACTTATTTTCTCTAGCCTTGCGATCCTCTTCTTTTGCATCCCTTGTGGGAAGGGGCGAGGAGACGGCTGTTGTTTCAGCAAAACTACGGTTAACAATACGGAAACCATAGACAGTCCACCGATTTCCTGGTCGATACGTGGCCGACAGATACGTGTACCTTGAGTACACACTATTCAACATTTTTAGACCAAACCGATCAATAAATTACTAGCGATCGAACAAGGAGAGCTTCCTAAAACAACGGTTCAGGGCAATTCGTGTAATCGCCAGAATGTAATGCCTCATTATTTAAAGCAACTAAGTGGCCACGATAGTATAGACTGGAACGCAGTTTATAGCGTTTTTATAATAAAGCTCGGATATAACACGTACTGTCATTGGTTGAAAGAGCGTGCTCTATGAGAGTATAGAGCATAGAACTGAGCTAAAGCTGTCACGCCATCCACCAAATGGTACTATGTCCGACTTTTTCCGGGACTTCTTTCTAGCTTTTCTTTCGTTAATTAAAAGTGAAATTTCGGAACAAGCGAGTAAAGGTTTGCAAAAATGCCAGGCGCAGTAATTTACATTACTATAACGTGAACAGAGACAAAAATCCTCAAAGATAAAACAAGATAGAAAGTCCGAGTTTTTTTAACGGTTTTCACGCTCATTTAGATTGCGAGTTTACGTACGGTAATAAAAATCAAACACAGCTAACACTTGTATAATAATATAAAGTTTCGATTTCAAACAGAAAAAAAACAGGAATGATGAAAAATATAACCTGGCATAACTGTTAAAATTCATATTAATCATGACGGTGTCAGAGTGACTTAAGGTCTATCGCGGCTAGATAATCATGGCGAT